GTATCCACAAGTAAAATATTTCCCTAAACACTCACACGTACCCGTCGTCTTACTAAGGTATTTATTTATTTATTTCATACTAATTTAATACTGTATATTTCGTTGTTATAACAATATTTTGACATTATATTTATATTAAGCGGCAACAAGAGTCGTAGTTGTAGTCTGAAATGTTCTAATAGTAAACTAAAAACTACTTGCAAGTCTTCTATTCGTTACCAATCAAATGAAATCAATGCACTCAGTTCTATTTACATTCCACGCACTTATCAAGGGATTTTGGAGCGGTTTATAATACCAATGTAATGCTTTGAATACTCGCCAAAATGTAAATAAACTGATAATCCCATATGTAAGTAGCTTTATATAGACGAGACCGCTCTCAATAATGTACCTCACTAAACAGTGACAACAAAATGGCAAACAATAAGTATTGGTACATCGTCTGAATTTTTAAAACCCCTTTTGCGTCCGACTCCGTAAGGATTAAAACATATGAAATGTTTTAAAACATAAGAAATAATAACTGACTAGCAGCGACATCTTTCGCCTGTGTCACGTCACTTCATAAACAATTCACCATCATGCCTTGATCCTGCAGTAACTACACTTAATTTCGTTATGTACAAGAGCTTATATTTCATTTTGATGTCTAAATTATATTAGTGTAAAGTTTCATCAAAACTCTCAAAGTAGTTTTCGAGTAAAACTTCAGTTCAACTGACACGAATTTTATAGTAAAATCGTCTGATGGTCTTCCAAAAATACAGTTTTAAATTTTGAGCGACGAAATCTGTATTTATATAAGCGATCATTTAAATTATAAATTGTAATGTAACAAACGGGCCCTCGTACTAACATCGATAATAAATCCTGAGCGATAGATATTATACGGAACGTTTGAATAAATAATAAACACTACATGATAGATGGAGGAATACAAGTAATATGTCAGCAGCGGGCAGGTGGATGTTGTAATATTGTTATGGCACAATTTTTCATCGCCGCGATGACATCACGTGACACGTCCCAAATACACGACCAACGAAACAAGAAAGAGTATTGTGACGTATTGAGATATGAAAATGTTACTTCAAAATACATTTATAACAAAAAAAAAAACTAGTTTATTGATACATGATGTTTCAATTGACCTGTCACATGAAAAATATTATATTTTTAACATTGACAACAAGTTGTTAGAGCTTTGCTAATAAATTTTTGTGTGTATGTTTGTCACTGAAACTGGACATAAAAACTAGAGAACCATAATCCAAGAAGTTTTTAGGTTTTACTTATAAATCAATTACTAAGTCAATAAATGTTTTTATGAAGAACTCTAAAATCTATCTCAATATGCTTCTTTTGTTTATTTCATATTACTTTTCAAATGGTCTAATTCAGTGTCATCTTCTATATATATAAAAATGGATTGCTGTTCCTTAGTCTCGCTAAAACTCGAGAACGGCTGAACCGATTTGGCTAATTTTAGTCTTGAAATACTCCTGGAAGTCCAGGGAAGGTTTAAAAGGTGAGAAAAATTGGAATAATTGCCGGGAAAATCCTAAAAATAATCCCTTTGCTATTTCCCATACAAACGTTTTTTTAGACATTAGATTTGTCAACTAACTAATATGTCAATCATTCTGTTTGATTGAAACAGGAAAAACCTGATTATTTATGGCCTCTAAGACGGAATAGGGTTCGCCTGGTCAGCTATACCTGCATATATTACTCTTGACCAAACTAAAGCGGACGAAGTCGCGGGGAAAAACTAGTAATGAAATAAAAAAGAATATTGTGGATCAGCGCTTTGAGAGAAAGGAAACAATTACTACATGTAAATTTTAAACACAATGTATTGTTTGTACTTTGTTTGATCAACGCTATTATTGTTATAAAAATTAATTTTATGTATTCCTGTTCATTATACTTACATATGAATTTATTTCGAATTATTCCTAGTCGAGATTATTAAAGCACGTAGGTAGCTCTCTTTTTGTTTTAAGTGCATCTAAATTACATAAATAGCTATCTAATCTATTTTACCATAATAATTTAAAGTCATTTTTAAAGTTCTAGATTTAATAGTCAACTGAAATTCCTGTTTTCAAAAGACGGACGCTGTGCTCTGTCTTTGAGTTGTTTGAAGTCTCGGCTGAAATTAGCTTTTTGTTTCAGATCAGAAGATCGATTCATCATGAACAAGAAGACTCATAAAAAGAAGGTTTGTTGCTTTAGACTTTAGATTTTGCGTGATAATATTTTTCAAGCGATTTTAAAATGTGGGGCACGTAAATATTTACCATGACGTATAACGAGAGACGATTAAGATGAGAATCGGATCAAACTTTAAATAAAATAAATAACTAATAAGTAATCCGCTAAATCTTGCTAGCTGCTAGCGGCTGCCAATTGGTACCCGATACAATCCTCTCGTGACGTCATACTTGCTGCCTTATAGAGCAAAGATTGTTTAGTTAAAATAATTACATTTACAACTTTATGTTATAAAATTTCATCACACTGTCTCTTCGTGTCGTAATAATACGATTATAAGTTCTAATTTTTCGCAGCTAAACAAATTATAACGCTCATTCGAGGGAAATGCCAGAGCATTGTGCAATTTGGAATCTATTTCTTCGTATACCAAATCTCATTTAAATCCGACAATTCAAGTCGATGAGTATGATAGCAATGATTCAGGTGATTTACGATAATGGTTTCACGGATTACTTCGTTATATATAAACACTTGCATGTACTCGTATGTGCTGTGGCCCTTGAGATTTTGAGATAACAAGTTCGTCTATTTCTAGTTGGCAATGATGCAAACTAGCCATCTAGCAGGCAGTTGCTTAAGAGACTTTAGTTTGCACAAAATTATTGTGAGGACCAATTACAGAGCGTTAAAATGTATTTATTTGTTATTGACAGACGGACGTCTGTACGTATGTTGAACATCGAGACCCGGGAGTCATGCCAATAACGAACAAGCGGCGGCTATGTACTCTCATTATAATTGGAACGATTTCTTTTTGAAAGATACTTAAAGCATTTAATTATTTATCTAAAAATAGAATTATCAAATAACACGACCAACATATGTGACCATATTTGTAAGAAACTGTATTGAAATCAAATCTTATCGTTTTTTTTTTTGCAATTGATATAATTATTATAAGTTGGTATGATTTTGAAAATATAAAAGCATATTTTAGATTAATCCAACAAACAGACATTAGTGACACTTAAATAATTTATCTGTAAACGTATATTAATTTGGCATAATCTTTAAATTTGAGTGTTGTTATGGAAAATTGCCTTTTTTTTCTTAAAGAGCATTTCCGATGAAGCCTCTCGTGAGTAAATTACCCATTAAAGATATTTAGCAGTTGTTATTTGAAATACGTGTTGTTTTAACATGAAACACAAGTAATCGGTGACTATTATACAAATTTATTTATATGATAATTAATTAATGTATGTATATTATGTAAACGATAAATTATAAACGTGTAAGACTTCAAAGGAGTTTCTGTAAATATCTATAATCAAGGGCCACATATATTTTTGTCATAAAGTAATCATATGTCTCAAATAGTCTCAAGCGACACTTCATTTGTCAAATATTTTTTTAGTTTCCGCCGTCCGAAACTAATTCATAAATTTCCGGATAAACGCTCGCGTTATTTATGATATTAATATATATAATATACGACGCCATTTACAATTTTAATCTTTGTAACAGTTTCAAAACTCTTTGGAAATATATTTTCTTCTTAGGATATTTTTTTGTTATAGACGTCTACAATAATAGTCGAAAAACTAAAATGAAATCCTAAATTTCAGCTTTTTTGTACACTTTATAATGTACTGTTAAATTATCTTCAATTACTAAACGACATAATGATATAAAATAAATATAATGAATTCTGATAAAAAGACATTAAATATCGCGGGTTATATGAAATTTAACGTTTTTGAACCGATTCCAAGAGACAAAAGTTTTGTTACGTATTTTAAAACATCGCGATCGGTTAAATCTATGCCAAGAAAAATGAAAAAGCTATGAATAGATCGTACGAGTGATTGTGGACGAGAACAATTGTTAGAGACAATTATAATGACGACCATATTATACAGATGTTATATGAACACATTATACAACAGATTATTTGAATATAAATAATAATGTAATGTGTATGAAAAGCAAGTATTAATGTTTTATTTTATAATAAATAAACTATTATTTTCTAATTTAATCTTCCTCTCCTTTAATCTTATCATCATTGTGTGGTAGTCTTCACAATTTCTCGGTCAAGTCGTCACTCTATTGTTTTATTACGTCCATCGAAAGTTTTTCGAGAGTCTCACTTACTTTTTGACTGTAACATAGCTTAAATTTTTAGGATAAAACTTATCTTTTTAGTTTTTAACTTCAATTACTTCAAATAATATCGTAATGAGATTTTTTTTAACATTTGTAGTGTTTAATATTTAATAGTAACATTTTGAAATCGAGTTTGTTTTAAATGGTAATATTTACACCGTCAAGATCGTAGTGCGCTGTGTTCGCAAGATGGAAAGATTTATGATCTGCGTATTACATCGATCATCGCGGTGTAACATATTCTATATAAACTAATAGTTTTCAGGCGATAATTAATTAACAGGAGCATTAAATACTATGATAGACTAATTTATATATGAGACAAGTCATTAAATATATATAAAAAAACATGAGTAGGTACATTTAAACGTACCTAAGTTTAAAATGTTAATAGATGTTGTCGAGAGTAATATCCATCTATATAAATCATTGAGCGAGATTATTAAATGGTTTTTTACAAGGAACTGTTGTTAAAGTCAAGTGGAAAACAGAAATATACGAACATCAGCGACCGACACATTCACAACCTCATACGTCACACGAGCTGCTCACTCCGCAGACGTGGGATCCATTCATAAAAATTGTCTCATCATATTTATATTTACACTATGATACTGCGATGGATGTTCTGTGTAAGGCGAACATATGACAATACAGTCTCATCGGGCGAGCGAGATAAATATTACGTTTGGTTACAGAATAGAAGACGGAATAAAAATGATGGACGGAATAAAGAAAACGTCGAAATTGAGAGAGAAAAGAAATCTGCCGAAGACGGAAAAGAAACGGGCGCGGAAGATAAGCCGGCTGAAGATCTGTGCTATGAAGTCAAACATTCAGATGTTATGGGAAGGTAAAATAATAATAGCTTATATTAATTAAAACGTTAAATTTAATTATCAATATAAATATGAAATAAAAGTAGTCATGAGTATATATTTTTTTCAAATATACCCACATTTGAAGTGCTGTTACATATTAAAGTTTTGTAAGGGTAATTCTAAGTATATTACTATTTCTTCCGTGTTATATTTAAGGTATATCGTAGCTACGAGAGACATAGAGCCCGGTGAGGTGATCATCACTGCACCAGCCCTCGTGGTGGGACCCTGCTCCGGATGTGGACTCATCTGTCTTGGATGCTATCGAGAGTTGGAAGAAAGTAATTTAACAAAGTAATGAGATCTAAGATTTTCGCGAGTACTCATTTAAATGAAACTAATATTTTTCGGATTTTACTTCGCGTCTAATATTTTTCGGATTTTCTTCGATATCACATCTCGTCTGCCCGTGATCACGGTTACTGAAAAGTAGCCGAAACGTCGGGAGTATGTTGTTTTCTAATCAAAAATAAAACACGAAGTAAAATCCGAAAAATATTAGTTTCATTTAAAGTAAGACTATTTATAGGAAATGTTCTTCAAAGGAATATTGAACTTTATCGTATTTATTTCAAATATCTCGTATTTTTGGGTAAATTTCATGAATTAATATTAGTCTAATACTTTATATGCATTATCCTTTCTTGCTATTTCTAGATGTTCTGGTTGCAAATGGCCTCTCTGCAGCAATTCGTGTTACGGTATCGGCAAGTACACCGGACACTCTACGTACGAATGTGAAACACTCAAGAAAATACAACCGGACTATAAAAATATAGAGGAGTTGAAAGATTCATACCACGCCATTACACCTCTAAGGTTTGTACCATTTATACCTACGTCTAAATTTACCATTGAAAATTCAAAAAACAAAATGGAAAGACAAACAAAATTTCATTCCTAAACATGTATATTATCACTATCTTTTTTTAATAATAATTATTTCAATCAAATACAAGATAAAAAATAACTTTAAAAGGTACAATGTTTACATGTGTATAAACCGTTTTCAGATGTTTACTTTTAAAGAAGTCAGATCCTAGTAAGTGGTGTTCGTTATCGGAGATGGAGTCCCACAACGCCATCAGACGCTCCCGTGGCGACATCTACCCCATGAACGATAGGAACGTGGTGCAGAGACTCAAGAAGTGGGGCCTGGAGTATGATGATGATGAAGTACACACGGTCTGCGGTATATTAGAGGTTGGTTAAAATATATTAGTAACTTAATAATTATATCTGTTAATAAATCAAGCTTCTTCTTCTCTCTTCTACCTGGCAATTTCCCAGCTATAGCCAGGATTTCCCTTACATGTCGTGAATAGTTTTGGCTATTAGTTTTTACGACCGGCCGCCTGCCTGACATAAACCCTCATGGGAATCAGCATTAATCAGTGATGTCTAAATACTCTTAGAAAGTACATATGACTCGGAAAAATCACATTGGTACTTGCCCGGGCCAGGATCGAACCCGCGCCCTCATGCATGCATGCGAGGCGGGCCTTTTAACCACTGGGCCATCACTGAGTTTAATAAATCAAGCTTCTTATATATTTATATAACTCAAATACCCAAACTTTAAAAGTTAGGTTTATACCTACTAGCTCCTTCCATAAATGTGAATATAAAGTTTTTTTTGTGATACTCGTAATACTGCATTCATTATAATTTTTTTTTGAAGAATAAATATTATTTTTAAATAAATAACGATAAACGTTTTAGGAAGCTATTTTTCTAATTTTTGTATAATCTTCAAGTTTTTGGCTTAACAGTATTTTCTAAACCCCACCAAATATTCAATCTATGTATATATAAATAATACGCTATAACTGATCCTCATCTACTTCCCACAACTACTTACGTACTTTAAGTACTATAGAAAATATTAATATATGAGGTACTCTAACTACTTAAGAATGTGTTTAATTTGTTCTATTCTTCCCAAGTTAATGAGAATGTAATAGTGGGACTAAAATACACTACGTATTTATTATTAAAATTATCTTAGCTTGTTTATTTATAACTATATGTATGTATATATTTAAAGATATAAAGTTATTATACAATTGTTATTTGCATGGAAAACCACGCAAAATTTTATCAAAACGTAAATCGTTACTTTACGTCTTTGGTTTATTATAAATAAACATTGTTGCATCTCTTACTATATCATGTTTACAGTCAACATAGTAAAATGAACTTGTGTCATCGTCATATAACTCTGAAAACAATTTTGGAATTCTTGGATTTTATATATGAGAAACATAAGCAGTTTTCAATTATAGTTCTGAGATATTCTTATTATTAAACATGTGATTTTTATTAATGAGATTCATGTATATTTTTTAAGGTGAATGCCTTCGAAGTCGGCGCAAGTGGTGCGAACGCTCGTGCTCTGTACAGTGAAGCGTATCTGTTAGCTCACGACTGTACCCCTTCTACGAGTCACACGGACCACGAGAGACGTCCCGGACGACCTCTCACCATCAGGGCAGCCATCAGACATGTACCAGGAGATGTGATCTCACTGTGCTACGCTTACACACTACAGGTGACCATCATATAACACTAACAACTAGTTCAGTTTCATTTGATATTGAAAAATACTTATAGATCATACTAACTATAATATATCCCAATAAGGTAGTCTTTTTTTGAATCAACCGACCGATAAAACACTCTGTCATTGGAAGAAATAGAAATATAGGATAAAATTTAGTTTTTAACAATAGTGTGACGAACGAAATTATGATTTAGGACTCGGCTCGATGATCACATAATAATTACACCTGATATAGTACACAATATATTTTTAACTGTATTCTTATTCACAATATTGGAATGATTTTTAATAAGTATTCAAAATATATAATTGAGATTTAGCACAGATTTATGCTTCAACTTTGCAGCAGTTTTCAGACTTTGTTAATTTTTCCAGTCAGTATATCAGTTCCGGAACACAAAACAGTTCTTCTGTATCCTTCTCACTTTATTCTCTAAGTGTGTTTATGCTCGTAACTCCATATCTCCGCCTGTCTTTACCCCAGGGTACCCTGAAGCGTCGTGAGCACCTCGTCCTCTCCAAGTTCTTCATGTGTGGTTGTGTGCGGTGTGCGGACCCCACAGAGCGCGGTACCCAGGCCAGTTCGTTGCGCTGCCCGCGGTGTGCTGCCTCTGTGTTGTCCACAGACCCTCTCCGTGGTGACGCCGCCTGGCGCTGCTCAGAATGTACATACGAGATGTCTCCCGCTGCGGTAAAGTTACTACTGAAGAGGTAAAGATAACTATCAAGTTGGGTCATACGTCACATTGTGTATATTTGTTTTGATACAAGTTTTTTAAATTAACAGATGTAGTCTCTGGATATTTATTTTATGTAAAAAAAGTCTTTATTGACAGTCCTGACTTTCACTTACTGAGTTGAATTATTTTCTACATTATCATACATATTTTAGCTTAAAAAAACCTAATCTCCTTAATGTTATTGATGGATTTAATTCCCTAATTCGTCTTATCATTCAGATTGACGGACGAGTTCGATCAGATAGACGCCAATGACGTCCAGGGCTTTGAGAACTATCTCGCCAAGTACAGGAACGTATTGCAACCCAACCACTACCTGAACTTGTCGGCGAAACACTCGCTGAGTCAGTTGTATGGGAAGGTAGCGGACTATATGATACATGAGATGACGGAGGAACTGCTTCAGCGGAAGATAGAGATATGTAGGGACTTGATGAAGGTCTTCGATGTTATTGAGCCGGGATACTCTAGACTCAGAGGTATAAACACAAAACAAATATAACTTATCATGAATTTATTATCACTATATTGGGCAAATCAAGTATGCTTTGTTTATAAGTAAGATACTAACTTGCCACTAAAAACTTATAATTATAATTGCAGGTATTACGCTGTATGAGCTACATGCTCCTTTGATGGTTTTGACGACCAGAGCGTTCGAGAGGAAAGAAATAACTAAAGAGAATTTAAGAAATCGCCTGAAGGAGGTGAGGTTATTAATGGAATAGTCTTGTTTTAATACTTTTAAAGTAACATCGTCAGGAAGTATTTTTTATCTTCCAAAAATTCTTTTCATATGGAACGAAATGTTATGCCGCCTAATTCGGTTTCTCTATACCTGATAGATAATAACATTTCTTCAAGTCTTTGCATCTATTAAGTCCCTTGAGTGCATAGAATGAATTTCAGTGAAGGAAATAGTTTGTTCTAATGACCATGTCACGTGCCCAGTTCGTTGACCCCGTTCTTATCTCCTCCAGATCGTCCGCTATCTCCGCGAGTCCTCCATCATCCTGGGGTTCGAGCCCCGATCTTCCCCCGAGGGTCTCATGGCCGGCGCCGCTCAACACGCGCTCTCCAAGATATACACGTGGGAACAAATCATAGGAAAGATTTCCTGAACACACACACAAACACATACACACACACACACACACACACACATACAGACAATCTCATGTATATGTTTAAACATTGTTATCATTAAGACAAAATATATTTTTATATTGTTTTTGACAATTAAAGTTGCATATGTATATCTGTTTTAATAATAATATTAACATGAAATCATCAGAAAATGTGTCAATAAAAGTCTATATTTTGTATTTTTTTTGTGATCTTCTATGCTAGGACAATTTTATTTATTGTTATAAATTAATATTATTGTAACTGTTTTCCTTTTATTTAAGTTGCCTAAAATCATTAACTGATCTTTTTAAAATGAAATCACGTATATTTTGTAATATACTTAAAAAAAATTATTTTGAATGGAGGTTGTTTTAACAAATACCTTTTGATGTCCTCAAATATCCCCGAGAGTTACTGCAAGTGTTGTTAATTCTAAGATTATATTACCATATTTAAAATTTATATAGCTTTATTTTGATGAAACCATACATAAGTTCTTGAAATAAATTACTAGAAGAAATAGTTAATTTAAGTAAACATGTTGTAAAAATTATTGTTCATTGAAAGGAATTCAAAGTTGAGTTTTTCAGAAGTTTATCTTGGCTACATGCTTTTTAAACTTTTTTTAGGTATTGTAACTCAACAAGATTTATGAGTTAATGACAAAAAAAAATCTTAAACATCGTTTTCTAGAGTGAAAATTGGTTCTCTTATGAAAAAAAAATATACATTTTAAATCATCGTCATACAAAATTGCAAACATTGGAAATAAAATAAATACAAGTCACTTTTGTTCTTAATTCTCAGGAAGTTAACAGGTGTACAGGGTAGAAGGGGTTTCCTATAAACATGGCAGGTGAAAAGGAAATAAATAAATTACATTACATAATATAAATATAACTAAATTAATTTAGAAACATTGGTTGGCAAAGCTTGGTTAAAATTAATATAGTTAAGTTTGAGCTTAGAAGTAAAGCAGTCAGCGACTCGGTATTCTATGTATAAGATACACGTTGGTATTACTGTATCCTTTTCTTACTATCTGAAACAAACGAAATGCGGGTCTCCAAACTTTTGTCGTAGATCTTTCTCGATACGCTTGTCCATGTACAAAGCAAAGGATTGCAAATTTTGCTTGTTTCCAATCACACGCTTTGTGAACTTGGTAACTCAAACGTCACGTCACTGTAACAAGCGATAAATAAAAAAACATTGAATTTGTTAAACATTTTATTTAGCTATGCACTTGGTGAATTTGTTTATAAAACCGTGTGGTGAGTTCTTATGAAACCTAGATATAAATGTAAGCTTTATAACATTATAGGAATTCAACAATTTAATTTCAAACTTTGTGTTACATAATAAATAAATAATACAATGATAAAAATAAACTAAAGATTGAGAACTGCAATCATTTTAACTTCAACCATTGACCAAAATAAATATAACCTCGAACAAGAATAATTATTCTTGTATAATATTTTTCTTCATTTATAAAATAATAATTATAATTTGTATATATGCTACAGGGTCAGCTGACATGAAACATTCGCACCACAATTTTGCAATGACAGTTGTGACATATGGCTTTTTTTCATTTCTCCCCTACCTCTTCAACGGTTATCATACGACATGCAATAGATGGACGAAAAAACATGACGCGGAGTAATAAAATGTTTTAATGAGAACTATAAAATATGCATTTATTTGTCAATCTATCAAAAGTTATGTTAAACTCTTTCCACTGATGAGAAATAATTGAATTTGATGTAGTTGTAGTTTCGTTTGAGCTTCGTTTCAAAAACCAAATAATCTTTTTTATATTAGATATATAAATCACAGTAGCTACAGTGTTTTAATTAAATTCTTTATTTACTTGCAATATTTTCTTCTATATATAAATAATTGTTAATATATAAGTACACATGTAGATATTTATGGTTGGTTCATGTTTCACATGCCGTCAGTTTATTTTTATCTCATAAAGCGTGTGCTCGAGCGCAGTGCCGGTCCAATCTTTAAGATTTTATACAAAAAGACCATTATATTATTTAAATAAGTGTTGAATTATACGTTTTATTGAGTATTTATTTGACTTATGGTGAGTAAAAGTATTCTATTTTAATCTTATCTAAATTACCTGAAGTCGTAACTATTTAGATAAAACTATATTTGTGATGTTAAATATCTTATTGGTCTTTACTCGTAGTTTTTAGAAAAAAAGATGGAATTTAATTGTTTAGAAATTAATCCTGTCCATTTGTTTTTGTAGTTGTGTAAATAATGGCAGTGGAAGAGCCTTGCGAAGTATGTTTAACGCCAACGGAGCAAAAGTGCTCAGGGTGTCAAACAGTCCATTACTGTTCGAGGGACCATCAAAAACAACATTGGAAGCTACACAAGCTTCATTGTGTTCCAGCCAAGATCAAAGAACTTCCAGGCATAGGGAGATATCTTGAGGCAACAAGAAATATAAAAGCCGGCGATGTTATAATGAAAGAAGCTCCTCTCATTACTGGTCCAGCTCAAGTAATAAAACGAGTATTTTTTTTTACAAATACGTCTTAGTCCCGTGTCTAATTAAATAATGTTTGCAGATAACGCCACCAGTGTGTCTGGGATGCTATGTGTTATTAGCGGAAGGTAAAACGACGTCTTGTGATAAATGCGGCTGGCCGTTTTGTTCTGAAAAATGTACCCGTAGTTCAGTTCATGAACCGGAATGTTTTTATACCCAACAGAGAGGTGAAAAGGTACCATTATTAATATGTATAAACTACACATGTAGTAGTACACATTATTATGCTATAAAGTTAGTTTACTGGTAGTTGTAAATGGAATTAATATAGACTACTTACCGCTTCCAAAGCCAAACTTCATCGAAAGATTCATAGCTTACACTTAGTTAATAAGTTGATTTATATTATAGGTGTCGATATCAACGTATGGAATTCCACATCCTAATTACCAATGTATCACGGTATTACGGTGCTTGTACCAACGAGATCACAACACGAAACTGTGGACCAAGCTACAAGCACTGGAGTCACATACAGAGGATAGGAAGGGCACTGACAAGTGGGAAAACGATAGAAAGATGATAGCACAATTTATTTGGAACTTTTTCAAATTGGAACAATTATTTAATGAGGAAGAGATTATGAAATGCTGTGGTATTATTCAGGTATATCCATATTATTCTGTTTTTGTTTATAATATTTTTCATATAACCCAGCAAATATTAATTATATTTTTTATTTAGATTAACGGCCACGAGGTGCCCCTTCTTGAGCCGGAATACGTGGCTGTATTTGACAAAATTTCTATGGTTGAGCACAATTGTAAGGCCAATTGTAACAAAAGCTTCACCTCTGATGGTCAAATCGTGAGTGTATTTTAATCAAAATCAATCTTTTTTTATTTAATAATGATTTACCTACGTCCTTACTTCTGTGCGATTTTCTTCAGTGAATTAGTTTGGCGATAATTATTTTTTCTTGTGTTATCAAGGATGTTAATGGACTAATTTAGGATTATGTATCCAGATCCTTAGTGCTGGTGTCGCCATTCCTCGAGGCTCCCATATATCTGTCTGCTACACGGACCCGCTTTGGGGCACAGAAGCTCGACGTCATCATCTCTCCGATTCAAAATTTTTCGAGTGCTCCTGTGAGAGATGCTCTGACGTCACCGAGTTTGGAACCATGTTTAGTGCTGTGAAATGTAAAAAGAAGTACGTGACTATATAACATTTAATTTTTTTTTTTGGGAGTAATTTATATTTTTTGGTTTATCTTTTAGAAATTGCATAGGATATCTTTTACCAGACACATTCATTGTACCAATTTTGCATAAAACTACATCACCGGATCCCGCAACTAAAGGATTGGATAATAAGTTTTGGAAATGCAAAGAATGTAAAGATGAGGTTTCAGATGAAATTATACAGCAGCTGCTTCAAGATATAGGAAGAGAATTGAGCATTATGGAGAAAGGGAACCCAGATGCATGTGAGAGGTTGGTTCCATTATAACAATGTAATCTCTAAAGAAACATTCATCACGCACTAACAGCAGTTTATTAATTATCATAATTATTTTAAATTAAACTTTGCAGATTTGTCAGACAGTTCTATTTACCAATTTTTTTAAAGGGAGTATTGTAATGTTGGTTTCCTTTCGTCTACTTCCAGGTTCATAGAGCACTGCGCAAGTTACTTACATCCGTCCCACTACTACATGATAGATGCAGGGCTTGCCCTGGCACAGCTGGTGGGTCAGGACACTGGTCTAGCAGCTGTCTCAGATGATCGACTGCTGCTCAAAACACAGCTGTGTCGGAAGATCACCGAGCTGTTGAATATCTTAGCACCAGGTCAGATATTCATTGAGACTGAGAATGTGTACTGAACATAGTGTTTTACTTTTTATTTTATTTTTTCATCATACAATTTTATTATTTAAGGACGCTAAGAATACAATCAAAATATTGATATTAATATGTGGATATGCCTGAATAATATTGAATTCAATGTCGAAATACTGGAATATATTCGTTGTCTCACTTTAAATGATATTTTTTTCCAGCTGAGAACAGAGTACGCGGTTCCCTCCTGTTTGAGTTACACGCGGCCGTGGCGGAGACCGGGAGGAGGAAAGGTCTTGAAGAAGGACCCAACGTGATGCTGGGACACATTATGGTTTGAATTAAGCTTAAACTTAATTACGATTATGTTATTAAATCTCTTAAATGTTTTTTTATAGGACGGATTACCTCCGTGTCTTAAACTTAACTTTTAATTTCAATAATTTATACACATAACTTCGTGTCTATTGAAGAAAAAAGTTTGTTAGTTAAAAAAACTACGGAAAAAAATAAAAATATGCATAGACACTTTCATAGATAGCCTTCAATGGCCTACATAAGATTAAAAGTTGTCGAGTTGTAAATATTAATAATATAAAATGAAAAACAACTTATTTAAATTAAAAATATTTTTCGAACTTTATTGAATGCAATATACGTGAAACATTCTTTAAATTGAATCTTGCAATTTAATAAAGTCAAAAAACAATAAAAATACTTGGCAATATTAAATTTGATTCCTAAGCCTAGAAGAGTTTGCAAGTTATTTATGAAGATCGTCATGGCTAAATTAATGACATCTCAGTACCATAGTAGACCTCAGTACATAGTAGACTATTTTCGGATTACCTTGAAGTAACTACGGTAACTTCAAGGTAATCCGAAAATAGTTCAGGAACTCATAAAAACTATAAATATGTTAACTCTAAATTTTTTTTCTTCTTTATTCAGGAGTCGCAGAAAATCCTGGTGGAGTCATCAGCGTTATTGGCACACGAACCACCAGAGTTACATGAAGGTCGACTGGGAAGACAGGCGAAAATAAACCTCGTACAGATGGATGAACTTATTAGGAACTTATCCGCAGCACTGCCCTCACCTTTATAGATAAAAAAACATTATATTATACAGGGTGACTGGTGAATTACTATCAATATTTAAAGAGCATACTCGGTACATGATTCTCATTCGAATTATGTAAAAAAAATAGGTACTTAATTTTTGACCAAATTTCCGTATAAATAAATAAAGTGTGTACACGTTCCAAGTGTTCCAAGTGTGGACGCGTGCGGCGGCGTGCTGATACAACAACACGCCGCCACGCGTGAGTGTGTGTGTGTGTGTGTATACCTAATCTATAGGGTGTTCATACGGTGCGTAATTAATTACATAACTTTTGGTTAACTTTACTCAGAAGTTTATTAATATTTATGTTATATTAATTTTTATTTGGTCATATATGATCGTCAAATATCACGTCCTCAAATATCGAAGGTAATTCACCAGTCACCCTGTATATTAATTATGTTGTTTTGTATTATTAGCAAATATATATAGCGCTATAATTATATATTTTCTTTAATCTCTATCTGTTAATCTAAATAGACAAATTGAGTGACAAATAAAGAATATGAAATTGAAATAATCATCGATAAACCCATGGCAAATTAAAAACTGGTAGATCGCTTTCCTGTTTTTTAGTAATAAATTTATACTACATGTATGTAAAATATTTAAATTACCATAAATATTGTTTGATATACAAAATAAAGGTTGGCCAAGACACCCTGATTACTTTAATTTTAATGTAATTATCAGAATAGGAAACGTAAGTACGTATTAAATATATAATTCAAGTAAAAACAGAATGTATAAAACAGAATACACTCTTACTAAGAACAACAAAACGCTTTTAGTACTTACAGAAGATAGTGAAATCCCAAATGCTAGTCGGCGAGCAACATACGACATGTGATAGATGAACGAAAAATTTGTGCTGTAGCAAAAGTTTTTATTAAAATATTAACAGCCTCATAAAATACCTATGGTTTATTAAAAACTCTATACAACACCATATTTATAGTAAGTTGAAACAATTAATAATATATGAAGACAGCGTCAGTTGTTCCTAATCCTAGAGTGAAGCTAACTGTAGTCAGACTGGTCTCAGTGATTTCCGTGAAACACCACCAGGTCGCCTGGCCCGCTTACCTTAACCGAACATTTATAAGGAACAGGCCGGGACAAACTTTAACACTCATAAACTATATAGGATATTTGTAATAGATAGAAATATAGACAAATTTTAAGAGAATCGACAAAAAATAAACGTAGGTTTCAAGCAGATTAATATGTATACTACTTTCCTTTTTTTTAATTTGAGATAAAAACTTAAGACGTACTTAAAATCTATATATAAAAAGAAAAGAAACACATTTTTGACATTTTAGTGGTTACGAAGTTCGCGTTTAGGAATTTACTACATTTAAATAAAATTTTGAACGGTAGACAAATGTGGAAACAAAACGGTAAAGTAAATATAGTTAGTTACGTCAAAGAATGTGTCAGTTACACACTAACTACTAGGTACTTGAATGAATAGTAACTTTGAGGAGATATATAAAATGATTGTAGGATATCTAACGAGTACCTTCCATTTTAACATATTCCTCAATATATATAACTACAATTCATATTGTTATACTATTTATTGCACAGTCTAGGTCATCTCTATATCAATCTGATTATGACAAAATTTACGTCATTCTTATGAACCTCATTATACGAAAAAAGTCTTTTTTACATACTAAATATAACAATACAATTATACAACATTAATTTATTTATATATTTTTATTGCGTTACAATATTAAAACATCTATTATGTTTACATTTGAAGGTGTCTCAAAGTTACATTCAATTTACGTGCACGCTATCATAATGAAATTATCACATGTAAATAAACTACGAAGAAATGTTAGATATGACAGAACTTGATATTGAGAGGAGACCGCGAGTTAGACGCTCGTTAAATACGCGTCTTGAAACATAGTGACGATAAACGTACAGTTAAATGAAAATGGGTTAAATATTAAGAACTGGTTACCTATATTAGTGTTATAAGTATATGATAAGTGATATATTGTTAATGAATTGTGACTTTACCGAATTCAATATAAGGTATGTGTTTTAACATGCTCAAACATCTCCGTAACGATAAGGTTATATTTAACAAATAAAAGATTATATAAAAATACGTTAATTTACAAAAATGATAACTAAAATGTATAAAACTTCGACCTTTGTATCATAGAAATAACAGTTTTTATCTCATTTGGTACTCTTTATATTATTTATCGGTCGCCTAAGCCTGAAAGGAAAAGAAAGTAAAATTTATAACAATACGTTTAAAAACAATGTTTCAGTGATAGGTATTATATTTGTTAAAAAATATCGGCGAGTTGAAAGTCTAGATTTTTCATATATTAATTCCTATTGTTTTTTTAGCTATATATATATTTAAATGCGAATGTCTCTGAGCCAAAATTTCCATCGAGAAGTAAATGATGGTTGTACCTTTATGTCGCCGAATATACCTTAAATACACTTATATATTATTCTTTGTCTTATATATTTAATCAACATGTGTATTATTCAGCTTCAAAAATTTTACAATAAATATAATCAAACTTTAACGTTCTCAGGCTAGTCTTTTAGCGAAGTCATTGCATACTTTTATTTGTGTGAATTATTTTGAAACCGACATCGGCCAAGTCACGTGTAAAGTCTAATAAGTTATAATATATAATACAATTAATATTCAAGTTGAAGGAAACCATATATTATACTGTATTAGTGTTTGAAATTAGTATATATTAGTGAAGTCCAAACGTCGTGAACGGAATCTCGGATACGAGACATTATAATTTTACAATTTTATTTGACTAAATATATTACTGGCTGTTCCCTGCTCCTTTGCCCGTATATATTATCGCTTTTTGGAATACACTTCGTCATTATGATGAAGTTTTATTTGATTTCACATGGACACCTTCATCAAATTCTGGCTTGGATACAATAGTACTACCTCACGATTATATTTTCGTTAAAAATAAAATTTATAAAATCGTCCTTTAAATGAAGAAAAAGTAGAGTAACTAAAATACAGTCAATTTGGGAACTTCCACAACTTGATGTCCGTTAAAGAATATCTTTTGATACTTGTTAGTGTAATTCCTGTCTCATCGCTCCAGCCTTTCTTGAGATAAACCGAAATAAAGGGACACAACAATTTTAAAAATTCTTTATTTAATATAGGTACTGTACATACTTTCATTTGCATTTAGTGAAAATTGTTAAATCTGTAGCAACCAATTTTATATTAAATTTAAATAACCTTTTTGCTAAACAATTATACTGGCAGCTAAATTTAAGATGTCATATAATTATTATAAGGAAGAAAACAATTTTATATAGAATTAGAATACGAAAACGAGAGTTGTCAATTGACTGCCGAAATTGTAAAACTAAAAGATTGTAAAACATTATTATATATATTAACAAAATATATATTCGTAAGTGGTATTAATATAATATATGTACATCACGAGAATACCACTTCAAATCTATTAAATTACAAAAAGACATTTTATTTTTATATATGTATTAGTATAGGTTAACTAATTCTTTAGAATTCGTAAGATTTTGAAAATATAGTAAATACCTATAGTACAGAGCGTGACATATAATATGGGTATTCTTTGTGATAAGAATAAAATAAGTATAAAAAATACTAAGAAATAACAAATAAAGAAAAAATATGAAATCCCTTTGTTTCTATTATTCGCGTTAACAAAGAATATTTTTGTGTGTTTCCATGTCTTCTACTTGCTACTCAACCAAATAATAACCAGCAAACTAGTTTGAAAGTATTTTGTTTACGTAATATATTGTAATATTGATGCAACTAATATTATAATGCAGTCTCGTTTTTGTTATAAGACTCAAGAATTTTGGGAAAGAATCAAAGTAGAATTGTTGTCCTTAACATGGCAATTAAATCTAGTAAATAAAATAATCTATGTAATATGTACCTAGGAGCCGTTCAAGTATTGCGTAAGCAGATTTATTATAAATAATTACCCCCCCATCCCCCTTGTCAGCAAAAGTAAGCAAAGCTCTTATCCCCTCCCCCTATGCTTACGTAAACATTTTCAAGTACTGTATTGTTTTTTTAATATAAATTAATAAAAAAAATAAAAAAATATTTTCTATGGATCTTCTCGATGTGATGATAAAAGGTAAATAACTACCGATAACTTAATCATCACCTAGACTCCCCTACCCCCCATGTCATCCAAAATAAGCAAAGCAAAGATCCCCCGACCATCCATAGTGCTTACGTAATACTTGAACGGCCCCCTATGAAATATGTATATGTACCAGTGCTAAGATGTGTTATGTACAAGAGAATACTAATACATTACTTTTACTAAAACGGTACGAGGAAATAAAGTTATAATATAATTCTTCTTATGAAATTAATTGATGATCCGAACCATTTTTCAACATACTTTAAAGTAAATGTTAACTATAAATTGTTGTAAAAGTGATTATTAACTCCTGACGATTGCTTTGAGTTGTAAGCTACTAGAAATGCTACAATTTTATGTGATACAGTTTTTTCGCTGTTTTCAGATTTCCTACTCCGAAGAGTCGAGAGATGTTGTTAGTTGGCCGACTCTGTATAGTTTTATATTGTTTGCAATACATTCATTGTAATATTCTGGATCTGGAATACGAGGAGATCGCTCATAATATCCTGTTCCCTCCTACGGACAGGAGTGCTGATGCCCTCCCCGTGAATATAGGGAGAGACAAAGTATCTGGTTGTATTTGTAGAGGCACCAAGAACCGTGAACTCATCGTCTGCTTTGGGAACTACGAATGCAAGAGATTCCCTCAGGTATTATAGTATTAACGTTAGTCGATAAAACTTAGAATTTAGATCGTAGTATGTCCATTGGACAATTTAAAAACCAAATGCTTATATGTAACAAACTTCTATAATTTTATTTTACAATTAGCAAAGCAAATTGCATGAAACCGAATTTTTAAAAAACTTATAACAAACTGTTTTTAACTAACTATTGGTTGTTTCATTATCAGGAGATAACAATTATAAATGTTTGTCTTACAAAATTATATGGTTTAAGTGTCAGTGAAAGAAATCAGGTTATTGTAGACATAAGTCTCAAAATAAACACAGCCAGATGGAAATTTCTCGCCGTTTAATCCATGTTATTGTATGATAATTATCGTAATTACTTTCGTCTGTACTGTTTGCTTCGACAACTCAGATTCGAACTAACCTTACTCACTACTTTATCACTGATGAACAGTGACGAAATGATAATGATTGAAATGGATGATTTAATTTCAATTCAAGTCAAGTATTTAAAATTGCATAATCCATAGGCAGCGAAGAAAAGAGCTTCTGTGAGAATTGGACGTTCAGTGTATGAATGATTATGCTCGGTTCATAGCTGGTTGCTTATTGTATATGTTACATGAAAAAGAGATAGTTATTTCAAAGGAATTTGTTGAAAAATCGTTTTAAATCTCCGAAAAAACCCTCAGATCTCTCTTAAATGGTGGCGGTCTAATCTTTTAATTCGATTTTTATAGTATTTGCTCAGGATTTAGAAATGATAACAAGATTTAACGAAAAAAAAGAAATGCAGAATTGGTAAAGTCGATACAGGTTAAAAGGAAAATTTATTCAAAAAATTCTATAAAGCTTTAATCATTTATTGAACATTGCTATTAAGATTAGATTTAGTAAAGATATTAATTTTGTAAAATCAAAATTGTAGCGAAAAACGTACATATGTATGAGTTAAATGAATCTGTTGGAAAACAAAACTAAGTAAGTTACAGATTGTTTATTATGTAAGAGAATTCATCAAAGTTTGGTACGTCTCTTACTGTGGAAGTATAAACTTTAATGAGGACGGCTTAAATCCTATAACAGTTTAGGGACCTCTATGTGAAATATGTATCAAAGTTAAAGGACCTCTTTTGGGAATCAACAATAATCAGTGATTTCTAAATAGTCTTAGAAAGTACAAATGACTCGGAAAAATCACATTGGTACTCGCCCGGGCCGGGATCGAACCCGCGTCCTCGGCAACGAGAGGCGGGCCCTTTAACCACTAGGCCACCACGGACTTTGAGTCCAAGTATACACTATAGAGTACTAATCACTAATCAGATCTCTAAATAATCACCCATCCATCTTAATAATGAGTGATCTGAAGGTATAATTGCTCCTGAACATTTAAATTAATATCTTAAATCATTAATGTTATTAAGTCAAGTACATATTACGTATTCAGAAATGTTAATCGATCTATAGGTAATGTGAAAATTTATTAGAACTCGAAGTTTTCTTTTATCGTGGCAGAATGTATGGCTTCATTTTAAATATTTTTAATACATTTGGCAGTTTTGATATGAAGTTGTATTTAGAAATATATAAGTAAAATATTACTTATACTTTGTGACAGCACATCATAGTTCAGGATCGATAGTACGTGTAACATAATTTTACGACATTTATTTTTAAATATTTTGTTCTTAAAAAAATCCACGCCTTTTATATTTTTAAATCGGTAATTTATAGTAAGAATTTCATTATCACTAAAATATTTCGAAACATAATTTTAAAATAAAAATAAAGTTGTAACTTGTAAGTCTGTTTCTGAAAATATTTCTATAATTAAATATTACTTCCCCACCGAACAACTTTTCCGTTAGTTTACAGTCGGATAACAATTTATAAATTCCTTGTAATCTTTTTGTACATAAGTTTCGTCACACATCGAAAGTACAACGACGCACTAGGACATTAGATACTACCTAACATTGTTACGACATAGTTTAATAATTAAAATAATTTCAAAAAATATCCAAAATATTCAAAATTTATCTCTATTTAAATAATGACAAAATTGAATTAAAAATTCTCTTATACCTTCTATTTCTTTTATTATATTCATTTTATTTTTCTCTTAAATACCCCTTTAAGATTGAATGAAAGACACACAAGTCCCTAATAAAAAATTATATGTGTGACGTTGAATGCGAAAGTTTTTATGGATAGACTGACAGGTCTCTATTACTCTTGCTGTATGGTTTTTAGATTTAACATTTATGTGACTCAAATAAATTATATATAATAATTTGTTTTTCAGATCATAATTCCGCAAATTTCCTAAAAAAATTTGTAACAGATCTGTTCACTTCAAAGCTTCGTTATTCAGACGATAGATGGCAGTGTTGGTTGATTACCATATAAAAATTAATCACACTTGGTTGTTGCTCTCTAAACTCGAACTCGATTCTGAAATCTTCAAAGACAAAATCGAAGGCATAAGTTTTGTTGTGTAATGACACAAGCAGACTTTTATAATTTTTATAAATACTTCTAGTCATAATATACATAAAAAAGTCCTAGGAGTATCGCTAAGATAAAATCGTGGAGGGATTATAAATATCACTACATATAAACTTCCTTTAAACGAAACAGTATATTTCATAACTTATTAGGCGTTTTAATATCATTATGAAATATTAATAGTAAATAAGGAACGTTTCTTTAATAAACAAAACATCGGTAAAGATCGTAGTACTGACAACAAACAGTTCAACGTATTACAGAAAAATACGTAACATCAAAACAAGTTCTGAACAAACAAAAATAAACTATTTACAATGAGATCGTATTATCTTAATATGATGTTTTTATGGACTAATACTGATTTGAAATAAACAATTTGTTTATTTGTATTTTATTTTTCAGGTGAAAGTAAGAAGCAGACATCTTATTGTAAGGACGACGGTTCTACCAGAAATACGTGTTGGAGATTTGGATTCTTTATATTATTTGACGAGTTTAAAAATAGAGTCTAATCATAAACTCAAATATTTACAACCAAGAATATTCCGTAACCTGACCAGGTTGAGAGATCTCTCGATATCATACAACACAGACCTCCGTGTTATACTGAACAGTGTATTCGAAGGACTGGTCAGTCTTCGAGAGTTGAAGTTGGTAAATAACGGATTCACAAATATATTCTCTCTAACCTCCGCTCTCAAACCGGTCATGTTACCATCCTTGAAGAAATTGGATTTGTCAGAAAATTCATTGGAGAAAATTCCTCAAACAGCGTTTAAACCGATGATTGGTTCGACTTTGGAAGCGCTGTGTATCAGTCTCTGTCGCATCGACTTCATTCATCCAGATAGTTTTATACCACTTAAAATGTTACGAGATCTGAGTATTGGAGAAAATGACTTAAATTCCTCTATCATTAATGACTTTCTAGTCAATCTTCAGAAGCATGGCGTTAACCTGAGGCATCTAGACTTATCCGGTATTGGATTCCGAAAGCATCCGCCGAAAAAACTATTAGAAACTATAGCAAATACGACGATAGAACGACTCACACTAGCTGATAATCAATTTGAAATAATCACAGATGATACTTTCCCTACAATGAAGAACATTAAAGTACTGGACCTTCGGAGAGTCAGTGCCATATCTATAGGACCGAAGGCATTCGAACCATTAAAATTCCCGAGTCTAAGAATATTATTACTCAGCGGTAATCACTTACCGGGTATACACCTCAAACATGTAGCAAACCAGCAAATCCTATTGATGGATTTGTCGTCTAATAAAGGAACGGCGTCGAGTCCTTTCTATTATGAAATCGACAGAGGAGCTTTCGATCACTGTGGACACTTGAGGATTCTCAATCTAGCTTTTAATAGAATGAAGTCTATATTCGATTACACGTTTACTGGATTGGGTAGACTCAAACTGCTCAACTTAGAGAACGGCACCATCTTCCACATTGGGAACGGAACGTTCAAACCATTGAAGAATTTAGAAATACTTAATCTTGCGAATAATCCGCTGGCGGCGAATGAGAATTTAACCAGTGCCATGTTCGATGGATTGAATATGCTTAAAATATTAATACTTAAAAACTGTGGAATCAAATATTTTAATGAGGACGATAATATATTTGAGTCGATGCCCAACCTCACTCATTTAACATTAAGAAACAATGAACTGTATTTTATAACGAGTGAACTATTCAAGCCATTAAAAAACTTACAGGAACTAGATCTAAGTGATAATTTAATATTATCTTGGTGGAGACCTGTGTTTTATACGTCCGGTATCAGACCGCACAGCGTTTATTTAGCAGACAATAAAATTTCACACTTCACTCTCAACATGATGAAGGACATAAATTACTTGTTGGAAAACAAAGGAAACTTCACAGTTGAAATAGATTTGATGGACAATGTTTTCATCTGTGACTGTCCTTCCATGTATAATACTTACAAGTGGTTACAAATCAACGGTTCTGAGGAACTCAAAATATATTTCGCTCACTCTACTTTTCTCTGCAGCAGCCCTGACGTGTGGGAAGACAGGAGGGTAGCAGACTATCTGCTCAGTATAAAGAATCTTAATTGTCTCATGTTTGATAAGTTCTCCAACTTAATGCTGATGGTGTGGACCGCTCCCTCGATAGTTATGCTCATCATAGTATTATTAATAATAGGCGTTGCATGTAAATATAGACTTTATATTAGATATTGGTTATTTTTAGCTAAGATTGCGTTAGGAAGAAAATTTATAAGAAAATCTTTAAAGAATGGCGCCGTTTTAAAGCGAGGCGATTACAAATATGACGCTTTTGTATCTTACTGTAACGAAGACAGAGAATTTGTCGCCGAAATGATAACTCAGTTGGAATGTACTCCGCCGTATCTAAAACTGTGTATTTACGAGCGAGATTTTGAGATAGGTTCCTTTATATCGGAATCTATATTAGGAAGTATAAATGTAAGTAGATACATAATACTGATAATAAGTAATCATTTCGCAAAATCTCAGTGGTGTAGATGGGAGACACAGCTAGCAGAGTATCACAGACTGTTTCTTGAAGACGGCACCTCCTACGACCCGCTGGTGCTCATAAGAATAGGTGACGTGGAGAATAAACATTTAACAACGACTTTGAAATTTTTATTGAAAACTAAGATTTATATAACCTGGGGCGAACAACAACCTAACGAATTCTGGAAGAAACTCAGAAACGTTATTTGTAAATATAAATGATACTTAATTACTACAGGTTCAACAATAAACATTTTGATAAACTTGTACTGGTGTGTTTTAATGGTGTTTTCAATATATTTAAAGTATTAATTTAATACAATTTTCTTTTAATAAAAGCGTTCCATTCTCGTCAGTGTTTGTTACAGATCTACTCAAATATAATAAAAACCACGATAACAATACTCTCCGGGGTTTTCCCAAACATTCTTATTTGAAGAGATATTTGATAGCAAACAAAAGACAATAACTATTCGGTACTATATATTATTATGATTTATTACAACACATTCACATCTCGTCTGCCCGTGATCACGGTTGCTGTAAAGTAGCCGAAACGTCGGGAGTATACTTACATAGTTTATGATCAAAAATAAAGTCGCGTAGTATAATCCGAAAAATATTAGTATCATTAAAATGTATAATATTAGATCTCATTACATACATACACATAATTCTATTAGTAATTTCATTTATAAACAGTCTAAATATTTATTTAAAGATGGTTTAGTGAATTTAATTGAATCAATCCAACTACCACTAGGCAGTAGATTAAAATATGTTGCTTACAGAAACATCTTAATTTTGAGCCTAATTTGTCAATTAACTGATATGTATATAACAAATGCAGAAGCAAACTATAATATACTGATGAAAAGTATACTTGGCGTCATTATTACTGCTTCCGACCTCATCGTACTGAATTAAACAAAAAGTCTTTTCATTAAAAATATAGTAAACTATTTACGATACCATTATAAAATTAAGTAACCTAATAATAGAAACTAATATTTTCCGGATTATCTATGCTTATTTTGTGATTGTAAAAATTATATACTCTTGATGTTTCAGTTACTTTAGGTACTGCAATCGTAATTACGGGAAGACGAGATAAAATACGTTAAGTAATCCGAAAAATATTAGTTTAATTTAAATTAATATTTGCGAAAATCTTAGATCTCACTAAAGTAACTCAATGTATTCACAAGTTTCCATTAAAATATACAAAATCAATGGTCATATTTTTTTATGCTCGGTTTTCATACACGTTTTTTAATCTATGTATGTAGACTAAAAGTATCTGTGACAGATTTTCACAAATTAAATAAATCCATGTAGAAGAATGAAATAACTGTGTACCAATATAAATTATAAAACGGGCCATTATTTCAGTTGAACCCGAGCTCATTAGGACTGTCAATACATTCATGAACACTATTCTTGTAGATACCTCTTCCTGTGAATCCCCACAAAGGACACGTGAAGCATCTGTCAAAGCAATGAGTGTTAGTCATTGTTAGGGAAATCCACGGCATACATACGATGCTCCTTTGAGTTCTTCAACACTGCTAGCTGTTTTCTTTTATTAGTTAAATCAGCTGAACATTAGTCAGCACGAATAATACATAGCCTATTTTAAGTACGTCAAGAGGTAAGGTTTACGTAAAACTTTAAGATTCATATTTTTTATTAATACCTATTTTGGGGATATAATAGTTTTACAATTTCAAAACAATCCCCTTTTCTTCTTAAGATAGTCGAGGTATAAATATGATAAAAGTCGTGGTGGCCCAGTAGTCATAAAAGGTCCGCCTCTCATGTAAGAGGGCGCGGGTTCGAAACCTGGCAAGTACCTTCCAATGTGATTTTTCCAAGTCATATGTACTTTCTAAGAGTATTTAGATACAACTGACAGACGGTGAAGGAAAACATCGTGAGGAAATCTGAAATTATAATAGTAAATTTAGTTTTATTTATTTATTATCGGAATTATAATAGTAAGTTTGAAGTCGCCAACTCGTCTTGAGCAAGCGTGATGATTAATTCTCAAACCTTCTCCATGTGAGAAGAGGCATTTGCTCAGCAGTGGGCTCTGATAGTCTGATAATGAAGCGTTTATATAACAAATATACAAAACTTAATTTAAATCAACATATGTACTACACAATTACCATTTAGTAAATTTAGAGCATTTAAATTAAGCAAATTTAAATAAAATTAAATCGCAGACATAGCTAGGCTTTATCGCTAGTATACGAACATGATTAAGCAAGTATTGAGTGAGAGAAATTGTCAATTGTTAACTTAAAAGCAAATAATATTTCGATGACATTTGAAAGTGATCTCAATGATATTAAACACTACTAATGAAACTGGTCGACCGCGCCGAGCCGAGCCGGTCACGTGAAAGTTGTATACTGGAAGTTTCCCTTATCTTCAATAAGACGTCTTATCCGCAGGCTATATCATAAGGTGCCATTTGTATCGGACCCATCGATCTTAAAAACTAATATTGAAAAACCCGCCTCTCACTAATAAAAATGTTTTATATATCAATATGCTTATTTCCTTCATTTTGCCTCAACCCATCTGAAACTTATTTTTATAATGTATCTTTTTACATAATAAATATTCATTTAAATGAAACTAATATTTTTCGGATTATACTATATTTATTTTATTATTTTAAACTATATACTCCCGACGTTTCGGTTACTTTACAGCAACCGTGCTCAATGACAGACGAGATGTGAGTCTCTAGTGTCTATTAATATGTACAAGAATATATAATCTAATAACCTTTTCTTCTTACAAATGTTTGATATACTTAATCCTTTTCAAATCAACAGTATTGCGCTCGAATTGTTTTAAATAAGATCAACCCGTTAAATGTTAGGTAGGAACATTTATTTTATTATGATATCAAATATGTATCACATCATATGGACAGATTAAAAACACGCACCTCTTTTACTTTCATCGAAGTCGGGTAAAAAAAATACATTTAAATATGATTTTGATTTGAGCTACTTTAGTTTTTATCACATAAACATTAAAGGTTGCATTTAAAAAATGCAATACATCTGTATAATTACAATTACAACATTATAATTACAATTATCTTTATATATAATAATTCTACTGTGAGTGTGTATGTCACTGAACTTCTCTCAAACGACTGGACCGATTTTGATGAAATTTTTTGTGTGTGTTCAAGGGGATCTGGAAATTGCTTAGATTCACAATTTTGTGTTTGTTCTGTTGTCAAATGTTTTTTTTAATTAATTTTTAAATTTATTAGTAGTTGTTGATACAACCTTTTTTTTTGACACTAGATTTGACAACTAACTAATATTATGTCAATCATTCTGTCGCACTTTAAAACACGGAGATTTATGGCTTTAATAGGTAAACTCCAAAAATATTAATGAAAACGTAACAGATATTTCTTGATTATAGATATTATTATTATTATTATAGGGCGATACGAAGTTCGCCGGTTCTTCTAGTTTTTATACATATTTCTATTCTTACGTGAAGAGCTTAAATGCATCACACTTTCTTAATCTTAAAAAAAAAATATTTAAAATATTTAAACACAACACAATATATATTTTTATTCTGCCACATAATATATTTGTCTTATATAACTGTACATTATCAAAAACAACATCGTTTTGTTAAACATATTTGAATAATAAAACCTCTTAATTTTATTTATTTACAAGGGCGTCACGTAGCGACATACTTGTGAGATGCGTTTTCCTTCATCGAGTAGAAAGTCTGTGGGTGCGACTGATCGCGGCCCTTCAGACTCAGCGACCACGACACGACATCGCGGTTTAAATAATCGGCAGGTGGTAAAAACCTCTTCTTATAAACATATTGTGTACCATAAATATACATTAAAATAAAGATTTGATAATACATTTTTTATGGTATTATTGTTGTGTCTCCTAAATATTATTTTTTTTTCCAGAATTTTTCAAAATACTATTTGAATTATATTCAATTGTAAGTTTTTTTAATACAATTATAATAAATTAAATTTTGATTAATAATAATAATTAAAAAAAAAGTTAACATTGATAATAAAAAAATTATTAATTATAAAAATATATTTTCATTATCAACATTACTTTTATGTTTTAAATAACTGATTTTATAAAATAACATTAAGAAGAATTATCTTGTATAAAACAATTTCATACTATAACTATAAATAAAACCTCCTTTCATACGTCTAAGATGTATTAAATACAGATTATGACATAATTGTATGAATCTTTAAGAGCGTAACTACAAATATTGTGTTGTTATTTTAAACATAAACGTCCTGAGGTTGGCAGAACGTGTGAAACTGTTCAGATTATTTTCATATCAGAAAGATCCTTCGAGGAAACAGGTAGAGAGTTGCGTCTCGAATACAGATGTAGAACAATACAACAGAACTGATTTAGCAGGAGATCGAGATATCCTTAAATATACGATTATATTTACATTGCATATATGGAGTACCGAATACATGCAAAAATGTTTGATATAATACGATGCAATTTTCGTATACCTACTACATATATTACCTACAACAAATCGTAAAAATAAATTGTTAAAAATAATTGAAAACAGAAGTAATCACTCCATATACACAGCCTCTTAAGTCTCGACCCTCGTTACAAACCAGTTCACTTCATATTGATCTAGATATAATAGACTCAGGACACTATAAATTAGATAGTACTTTACACTCACGTCCTCCTAACAGATGATTTAAATAATAATTCTCAAAACTTCATAACGTATGAAAGCAGAACGTTCAGAAATCATCAAATGAACTAGTTACCCAGCAAACAAACTAACAAGAAAAATATATACATGTTATAATTAATGTTTAATTAAGAAAGTATAATTAGACGTTATTAATCTAACCGCCTTCCGTTTTTAAAGTAGCTTGTCGATTTGCAAGCGGCGCTATTGTTTTGGCGCGAGAGAAAACACCATTTTCATTCAAGATATAGTTGCGGGATAACGGTTCGAAACACGCACATCTACCCATCCTTATCACACTAATACAATTACCGTGTGCTAGAGAGGAACAAAGAATATTAGTAGACGACGGCTGGCAACTGGCAAGTGATTACTCGACTGACCTACTCAATCGCTCACAAACTCAAAACAACGAAACATCAATTTAATATCATTTATTAAAAATCTGTCACGCTCAAATTAAATATCCTTATTAAAATTAGAGTATGTAATAATAAAAACAAGAAATTAATATCAATAATACTACACCTTCTTAAAATCTTTTTTTTTTCAATGTTGTGCTTTCGAAAAAATAAGCTTTATTACAATTATAACTTAAAAATTCATACAAGTAGAAACACGAATTTAAGAGCTTTTTAAAAGGATAAAATAATCTGAAAGTATGAGGTAAAACTAAATGATAATATTTAAAAATAAATGTATGAATTGAATTGATTATTCTTAATTCGATTTTTAAAAAGCAATCAATGCATTTGCAGTCCTTGACGGATGCCGGCGTCATTGGAGGTCCGTCAGTTGTCAGTCGGTGCCAGGACGTTGCGGCGAGCGGTCGTTATGATGTACTTAATAAACGCGTACACAGTGAAAGTTCGCTAGAGAAATGCGTCTCGCGATCGCCTTTCTGTTTGTGGTGAGTGCTAATTATGTTAAAAGTGCTAATAGCTGGCTGTTCTAGGTGGCTCTGTCTGTGAGAAGCCGGCGGAACTGTGCGAATTATACCAATTGATTAGTACCTAGATCATTATTTTTCATAATCGTATCTTATTTGTTAATTGTAAACGATACCAAAATGTGATTTTTGGACAACAAAAAAATATTCAAATATATATGTACAAAATATATTCAATATTTTGTATAAATATATCATCCACAAGTAACGTTAAAATCTAATGTTTTAATAATTAATAACAGTGTTCGTAGTCACTAGTTAGTTAGTGTGTTAGTGTAAGGAGGCCAACAATAAACAATGCTTTCCCTCATTTCAAAGTAATGAGATAACTAATGTTCTTCATACAGATTAAAACAACTTACAATGTAACGGTCAATGAACTCGGAGGTACACAGTGTAACAATATAAATATACCAATTATTATTTTTTAACAAAAGGTTTATTTGCTAAATTGAAAGAAATCTTCAGTCGAAGATTTACTCTGTGATAGTTACTAGTGAAGTACAAGTGATGAAAGCAGGCCGGCCGTGGGAAGCGGGTCGCGGAACACACGAACACACACACATGCACACATCAACACACACAGACACAAACAGAGAGAGAAAGAGTTCTTTATACAGATATAGTATTAGAGACACGTGTGGCAGAATGTAAGAGATCTTAGCATGAGAAAGTCAATTTTTTTTTATACGTAAGAACGAAAGAAAGATTTTAATTCCTTAAAACAAGTCCTATGTCATTCAAATAATATTTATAGAATGATTATAATAAAAGATTTCTCATGGTCAGAACTTTTTATTATTAGTTGGGTGTACAATCATGTAAAATATATGTTTAAGACGATGAATTAAAATGACTTTCTAAAGATATAAAAAGCTATGTCATCAGAACTAATTGGCACAATATAAGTTTAATTAAAAGACTAGATTTATATAAATATCCGTATTAATACATTTCTTGGGCGTCATCTAAACAATATTTAAATGTTATTCTTATATTATTGTAATATATTCCCGACGTCACACACCTGTCCTGTTCTCAAACAGCGGTCACTTTCACTCGCATGTCTTTCCGCCTTAACTTTATACAACTCATACATTTTTCTTAACGTATTTGTTTACGAACCATGTTCAAACATTTGATAAATCACCTATGATAAATCGATGTCTTATTCTGATAGTTGTATTAATTGTGTTTTAATCATTATAATTAATACGTAAGGTTGTTAGTACTGAAAGCAGTCTATAACAATAATTAGATTCCGCCTTAAAATGTAAAAGACGGCGAGGAAAGATTTAAAGAAATTATTAAACATTTATTGTCTCCAAAAGATATATATTTCTTTATAAAAACGACGCAACATCCAAATTGTGAACATAACGGCGCTGCGAGCCCCCACGTAATTTGACCATCGTCAAATATGTCTTTGGTCCAAGAGTCCTTTAATGACCCCATTACTAACAAAACAAATATTTAGTTTAAAAGTTTGATTTTTAATTCCGTTAAAAAGGACACCATGAGGAAAGTCCGCGGTAACTTTTACAAATATTCCAAAAACTTGTTTCGAGATGTTTCTTTTAACATAACATTACGAAATTTAAATTGCTTTATTATTTACATATATTAATACGTTTATAACTTTTCTAAATATGAATATCAACTCTTTCTTTATAACTCGATTTTTAAGATGTAGAATTAAAAGTATATGTTATTCGAATAAATCCGTTAAATATATAGGATTTGTTATGACTATAACTAGCTGTTGTCAGTTTTTCCTGACAGTAAGGTTATATTTTTCAATAAAATGCGTATCATAATCTTGTCTTTGTATATTACATGGTAATGTTTGTTTTATATACATCCGGGTGTTATTTGAAGACATCATCCATAGAAGGCGTCACCCCACGTGACATCCTAAAACAGATCGTAGAAAGTTGTTACTAAAAGTGAAACTGACTTTATTGATTATAAGTTCAATTACATCGCGCCCGTGGCATTACTTTCGATGCAACGATCAAGTGTGTTCCAAGATCGACCTAGATTTAAGCAATGAACTTCATATTATTAACAACATTTTAGTCGTAGTATCAGACATTAAGAACATTATCTGATGGATAATATTTGTAGGACCCCTGGTCCTCTATGTAAGAATGACTAGTCACTGTCTCATTACTACCCCCGCTTAGAGCGTAGGCACGCGTCACTGTTTTACTCCGCGCTAGTCGTGTCACTGCCCAGCGACTGCCGCCCTCTCTAGTGGGGTACGTGAGCCAGTGTATTATATGTATTCTATAGATAAAAACACTACAATATTGTAAGAGTGAGATGATCGTTTCGTAAGTAGGTGACATGTGCGGGGGCGCAGGGCTACGACTACGCGTCCTCATGCACGAGGCCTCACCGAACGAGGAGGGCGAGGCTGCCGGAGGTGCCTTGTGACCTGACGCAGCAGAGTTACTGCACCACGCCCGGCAGTAACTACCCCTGGCACGCTATACGACGGTTCATTAGAGAGAATCAGGTGACCACTACATATATACTAAGAAAGATTAATCAAAATAAACAGGACTTAGCAACTACCTCCCAACTGTGGGATAACTTGGGTTTAATATTAAAAATAGAATTCCAAGAAGTTGAAGTATTGAGAAACGGACAGACAAGTTGAAGATTAAATAATAAATTCTTTCCTAAAAGTCTAAAAAATTATTGAACAGTCCATAGAGTAGTTTAAAAAAATCAATATAACAAAACATGTGCTATACTAAATCAGATATTAATTCATCTTCTTCTACCTGGCAATTTCCCAGCTATGGCCAGGGTCTGCCTTACATGATGTGAATAGTGTTTGGCTTTTTGTTTTTACGACCGGCCGCCTGCCTGACATCAACCCGCTTTTTGGGAAACAACATTAATCAGTGATGTCTAAATACTCTTAGAAAGTACATATGATTCGGAAAAATCACATTGGTACTAGCTCGGGCCAGGATCGAACCCGCGCCCTCGGCGACGAGAGGCGGGTTCTTAACCACTGAGCCACCACTGACTAAATCAGATATTAATTCATGTTTTGTATATTTCCAGGGACTGATGAGACGTATGTACGGCGAGGAGCGTCACATAGCGGTTCTTAAAGCGGAGCTGGAGAACTTCATTGATGATGAAGATGACAACAACAACCCTGACTTCACAGAGGATCTCGAACAGGCCAAGAACAAATATACCAAGAAAAATCCACGTGCCATGAAAGACAAACCACATTTTAGGCCAATACAGTCGAACAGTGAGAAACAGAAGAAAGTTGACAGTGGCTTAGGAGTGAGACCTTTAGAGAGTTATAACAGTTCGAGTTCCAGTACAGACAGAAACACTACGACCGAGATGAGCAACGATACATTGGAAGAAGACGCGGGGGTCTCATACAAGACGAAGCTGGAAAGCATCGCGAACATCGAAATAAACAATCTGGACCCTGACGTCATCACACTAGAAGCAGTCATCAAACAGAGCATCGAAACTAACAGCATCTACCCGAAGTTCTCAGCAGCTTCGAAGACAGAGGCTCAGGATGATAAGAATAATACTAAAGGAAACTCCACGTTCAACGAGAGTATGAGTACAACAGAAATAAACGACGAACCCTACGACGACGGAACCACGGAGAAAGATGCGTGGAATGGCACGGACGGGTCCACACTACCTCCTACACTACTGTTCTCAGAACACGAGAAGGTTAAAGAAACAGATAACAGAGACGGAGACAAGGAGAGCCAGGACGCGAACACTAAACCTACACATCAGGAAACGATGAGGCCCGCGGTCATTAAGCTGAGAGGAGCGTGAGTTATCAATAAATATACATTTAATATACAGCCAGCAGGCTCATGGTGGCTGTCGCGTTTATCATACAACATACACCGATGGCCACCACGACTGATGAATATTAAACAACCGGTCTCCACTATGACGTCACTGCTTTCAGCAATTTATAATAATCAGGGCTAATTGATTTCAACACGTAATTACATTCCTTTGATAGAATATTTTAATATTTCGTACAGTGTCGTTGACATATATAGGACTATGTATTAATGCTGGTATAGGACTATGTATTAATGCTGGTATTATTTTGCAGTAATGCTTGCGAGACCAAAGAGGAGATGGCGGCTCCGTTCTGGGCTAACAGCACCCGCGGCGAGATGCTGGCGCTCCTCAACATGTACCCCTTCGAGCAGTACATACACCTGGAGACCTGCGTCCACAAACACAAGCAGATGTACTGCAGGGAGGGCTGCAGGTGAATACATCACTATACATACATTACTCAAACAGAACACCCTGTATATAGTATATTTCATATATTATTTTTTATTACTCATGCGGGGATAATGGGAGTATTTCTTGTTTTTATAACCTTTTTTTCGTCAAGGGAGCGTTCACGGTTCAAGTATTACGTAACGCAATTTGGGGGGGGGGGGGGTCTCGTAAAACGTTACGATGCGTTACAAAGGTAGGAGGGAGTGTTTCTTACAAAACGTTACGTGGCATTGTTTCTAAAAAAAATTATTAATAAAAACCCCCAAACTGGCAACTCTTTTTATATTGTTACATTATATTGACCAGATTGTATTAGTCTGGTCGATATTTTTATTTGTTCTTCCAAGTTTGCAAACCTCTTAATTGATATTTTACGGGAAATACCTAGATTGCATTGTAAGTCATTTAATGTTGCTTCCGTGTTCAGTATCGTTAGTGTTTGTCCGTGAGTTCATAGTGTTCATACTGTAATTTCTTAAGAAGAGGAAGATTTGTATCAATGATCTTTTTTTTTATTTAATAGATTAAAACTATACCAAACTATTACATATTGTTTTACGACTTTAGAATGAAATTGATCACTTAAGTGTTACGTAACGTTTCGAGAAGGTGGGGGGGGGGGTCAAAAATCTTCGAAAATTGCGTTACGTAATTCTTGAACGCTCCCCAATTCGCGAATTTGGGTTGAATTTTTTTAAATTGGTCATTGAAAATTTGGCTGCGAGAAATTTACTTATCGCACTCAAATCAACATTTAATTGTGAAGGAGGCAATTAATCTTTTCGACCCCAAATGCAACCACAAAGATAGTACTTTCCCCGAATGAGTAACAAAAATGTTTTTTTTTTGCATCCACTCTAATCTAATCCTAAGTGATGTTGATTCCAGATGTGAGCAACAGTTCCGTCTCCACCGCCTGCTCGCGTACGACCCTCGTAACGAGTGTCGCGGCATCTTCGCGGACTGGTTCAAGTTCCCCGCCTGCTGCGTGTGTCGCTGTTACGACGTGCCGCTGGAGTTCCGCGCTCGCTCGCCTCGCATCCTGCCGCCGCAGTATGACGACCACGTCAAGAGACTCATCTATGAAGACGTGGCCCGCGACTGGTACACCACACCCTTGGACGACGACCTCTACTGACACACACACACACACACACACACACACACACACACACACACACACACACACACACACACACACACACATACACACACACACACACACACACACACATACACACATACACAGCGGTCGCTCACTCCACTATAATTAACCCCACCTACTTCTTAATTCATTGACAAATTCTATTTAAACATTTATTTATTATTCTGTTGGTATATCATAGATTTTCATTCCATCTTGTTTACATCATAAGTTTAATATGATAACTTCATTATATCCTAATACTATTTATTTCTTTATTGTTGATTTTTTATTTGTAATTTAATTTTGTTTATAGATGTTTTATGTATACACTACTTATTTATAGTGATGATATCTCAACTAATTTATGTTTAAGGCTAGTGACAATGTAATATATTTTTGTAATATACATATAAATATATGAAAAATATTATAATTATATGTTTAAGAAAATAAAGTTGAATTGTTTTAATTGTTTTATTAATTTTATGTTCAACCTTACATAACATGTTTTTAAACAAACCTTTGACATTACACAACATTTTATTAAATGTAAGAGAACCCACAATGCAGAAGTTATAGTTGAACGTTCATTCTGGCAAGCGTGGAACACTTAATTTGCGTAATTGAGTTAAGCACTTAATACTACAAAAGGGCTGATATACCTACTTACACTGTTTGGATAAAATTTACCAAATATGTGAAATAAAGAACCACCACAAAAAAACTAACTTTCAAATGAAAAAACCGCGTCGAAATCGGCCGATCTGTTTGAGAGCTATGATGCCACAGACACACACACTTCGATATCGACGTCAAAAATAAAGATTTAAAATAATTTGTGTACTTGTTACAAATTAATAGCTCTATAATTCTGTAAATATAAGCGGGATCGATTAAAGCAATTATAAGGTTCAGAAATAATGAAAACAGACTTCCCATTAAATATAACAAGAAATATTACTCTTATTTTACCAAAAGTACTAGACCTTTTTTTTTTTTTCTTTTTTTTTTTTTTTTGTTGTCGCTGGAAAAATGATTTTCGCATACCACTCTACCCGGGGTAGGCAGATGTGGTTATGTGGGACTCCTAGGTTTAAGCACCCAGTTTACCCACTAAAAAACCAGCGGAATTACTCCTCGCCACAAAAGGTGGAAAGAGGCCGCGGTAACGCTTTCGCCCAGCCCGCGGCTTAAAAGTACTAGACCTGGGGTTAAACCTACTTAAATTTAGTGTAGTATCTAACAAGTTACCATTTTATCTATATACAATAAATTAGTAGATTAATTAATTAATTTTTTAATGCTTTTCTCAAGCCCCCTCGCTTGCGAATTTTGCTAAGTGGAAACTGAGGTGAAGAACAACATCATTCGAGGGTTTCTATAATAATAGGAGGGAAAGAAAAAAAGGAAGGTTTCTAGAGTATAAGAGGTTCTTAGAAAACTAAAACTTTATGTAATCTAATGCGAGATAAGTATATCCTCAAAATTTTCAATTAAAGGTTCAAAAAAAACTTTTATGTCATACCAAGATTGTAATATTTTAATAACTAGAATATTTTATTTCTCTCTCTCACTTTTTTTTCTTCATTCTTTATATTTCAATTTTCTTTATGACAAAAAAAATAAAAAATATTCTCTGGTAATGACAAACGGTATTAAAACCATGATTTGGGATAAAAAAAATTAAGAATTTTTGATACCATAATTTTAGACCTTAAACTCGCTTAATATTTTTAAATGGAAACAGTGATGTATTTAAACAATATTTTGAAAGATTTGACTGAAATCTTAAGTTAAGGAATACAATTTCTGATCATGAAATTTAAAATTAATCTGTCAGACATTAAAATTGTCTAATTGTCATGGCGGTTAAAGAAATGTCAACAACGCGCTTGTTTTTATGTTTACTGTAGTTCTACAGATTGATATTGTTATTTAATTTATATGCTTTAATTATTGAATAGTATCAATTTATTATTATATGTTGTAGTGATAATCATTATAAGTAGGTAATATAATCCAAATTAAAATGAGCGGAAGGGCGAAAAAAACCGCGGCTCCGAAGAAAAAAACTAATGGATATAAGATGCCAGCTCCCATCCCCGTGGGAGAAGTTATAAATGATCCTATATCCAAAAAGAAATGGAGGATCGGTCCTTCCATTGGAGTTGGGGGCTTTGGTGAAATATATTCGGCTTGTGAACACGACGGCTCTCCAAAGAAGGCTTCAAATTATCCTTATGTTGTTAAAATTGTAAGTTTTATTGGTTTATAGTTGCCTACACTCCCATATCTACTGCTTTAAAATATACTTCACTTATACAGTGATGTATATAAATAGAAACAAGTAAGAAAATTAAATTTCTATACAAAATAATATACTGAAATTATATCTACATGTATTGTAACATAAATGTGTCTGAATATTAAAATTTTCTTACAAATACATAGAATTTCTTTTTAATTTTTAGGAACCACATGAAAATGGACCACTCTTTGTAGAGAAACACTTTTATATTAGAAATGCTAATAAAGATGACAGTGAGTAATTTTTGTTTAAAGTTTTATTAAAAGTAATATTGCATATTCTATAAAAAGAAATATAAATTGTATAATATAACACATTAAAAAATGTCTTGCAGTTGCTAAGTTCATGAAAGGCAGGAAATTATCAAGTTTTGGGATGCCATCGTACTATGGGAATGGGTCCCATGAGTACCGAGGAGAGAAGTACAGGTACTTGGTGTTAGAGAGATATGGCAAGGATGTGTGGAGCTTGTTCAAGGACTGTGGACGGAGTTTCACACCTTCAACAGTCTTTCAATTAGGATTGCAAATGGTTTGTCTAGTTTTATATACTTATATATAGGATATAATCATCTATGTATAAATGTGGAGGTCATTGTCTGTATATGGAAGATATATGAAAAAAGTATGAGTGCTTTATCAACACAAATAGAACACTAAACAATGATTGATACAGTTTTTTCCCTTCTTCTGTGTGTTAATGCATATTAATTGCTGTGTGTACTGTGTAGAGAAACATTATTGTAAAGGATTATTTTATCAAACTTAAACAAAGTTACTGTTATCTATCTTCTATACTTATAATAAATCTGTACAGAGGTCAATTCTGTAAATAAAATATATTTAAAAAATAACTATCAAGGGGTGGTTAGGTATAGCTACTGATGCCAAAAATGCAATCAGTAAAATTTTTGTATGTCTGTATATTTGTTATGGAAACAAAAACTACTGAACGGATTTTAACGAAATTTGGCACAATTATTCTTCATACTCTGGAGAAGTAACTCCATTTTTTAAGCTTCTGTCGCATGTGCAGGCGTATCGGTTAAAGCTACATAGAAATCATGTATGACGGAAATATTCTCCTTAAAATTAAATCCCTACTCTAATATTATAAATGCGAAAGTAACTCTGTCTGTCTGTCTGTTACGCTTTCACGCCTAAACCACAGAACTGATTTTAATGAAATTCGGTACAGAGATGGAGTTGACCATAAGAAAGAACATAGGATGGTTTTTATCCCAGACTTTTGAAAGGTTCTCTTGGAAATGCGATATAACCGAACTCCACGCTGGCGAAGCTGCGGACGGAAAGCTAGTATAGAATAAACTAATGATGATATATTTTCTTATTCTAGTTAGATGTGCTAGAGTACATTCACAGTAAAGGGTATGTCCATGCTGACATTAAAGGGGCTAACATATTGATGGGTCTCAAGAAGGGGACGGAGAACCAAGCATATCTTGTGGATTTTGGTCTGGCTACGAGGGTGACCGATAAAGAGTTCAAACCTGACCCTAAGTGTGCACATAACGGCACCATAGAATACACAAGTAGAGATGCTCATTTAGGAGGTGAGATACCTTTTTATTATCAGACATAGATAACATTTTGAAGCCCAATAACATCTAGCAACTAAAAATATATTAAAATAGGTGTTTTGTTAGAGAAACCTCCAAAGAACATTGATATTAACTTTCTCCTACATATACTATTTATAAGTCACAAAACAATTAGAGACTACAGTATGTTCTATTTCATTGTATTGAAAGAGGAAACTTTTAAGGTGAATGCTTTATATTTGTAGTGGCCACAAAGCGTGGAGATCTTGAGATCCTGGGCTACAACATGCTGCAGTGGCTGGTCGGGGAGCTGCCCTGGGAAAAGAACTTAAAGCAGCCTAAGACTGTGCAGAGTATGAAGGAGGCCTTCATGAATAATATACGGAAAGAAATCACAAGACAGTTCAATAATGTACCAGGTATGGAGCTTGAAATATACACTAGGTACTCGCTCCAGCTTCGCAGGGGTATTTTACAAAAAATAAAAAATAGCTTATGTTGCATATAATGCCTTGAGTACTTTCTTTAATTAAAATGAAGACCAACAAAAATTTCATTGTCTTCTTTCATTAAACATAAAATCGCGGACTTTTCTGTAGACCTATATGAGATAAACAATTCCACCATACATTGTTTTGTTATATCTCAAAGGGTTTTGTCAGCGTTTTTGATAAAAGATCTCAGAGGGCTTATTTTTTCCCGACATCTTCAACAAATATCGTTAATGTACACACAAATCAATACAAAACCTTAACAAATTATATATTAAAACCTATCTCGAGAATCACGCTATCGAATGGTGAAAACCAAATTGGTAATTGGTGCAGGAGTTTTACTTTTTGTTTCGAACAGACAGACAGACGCGGGAGACTTTGTTTTATACTATGTATTGATGATAATAACTAATAAGGTATGAAGTTGATGTTACAACATTTTTGTTTCTTTTTTACAGAAGCTCTCATCAACTTCTTCGAATACATCAATTCATTGAAACCAAAGGATAACATAGATTACACTAAATGCAGACAGATGTTTGAAAATTATCTTAAGAGTGAGGGAGTTACAAAGAGTAAGAAAATGGATTTCACAGCTAACAAGAAGAGAAAAGCAAAGAAAACTGAAGACAGTAGTGAACATGTGGACACTGATGATAATACAGAACAGGTGTTGAAGAAGAACATGAAACAGAATGGAGAGGTGAAGGTAGTGAGACGGGGAAGGAAAGTTAAACAAGTGACAGAAGAGGACGGTGAGAATAAAGAACCGGCGGATACTGGCATTAAACACACGGCTAGAGCAAAGAAGAGGAATTCAATAGAACCCTCAGTAGTGGTGAAGCTTAGGAGGACGAGGATGGCGCCTAAAGCTAAGACTCAGGCCAGCGTCGACAAGAACAAGCGGAGTCCTAGACAAGTTTCCTTCGATAGCCCTATCAGTGAGGTCATCGGAGAAAAGAACTTGAAGCGAAAGAGTGATTCCATGAACTCTAGTGGAGACATCTTCGATGATTCCTTCGTCATAGAGGAGAAGAAAGTTAGGCCGAGGAGGAAACTACTGTCAGACGAGGAGGTCGTCGTGAAAAGAGTGGTCAGGAAGAAAGTGACCACTGTTTCACACAAGACTCGGTCATGGAGGGACTCGCCTGCCGTCGTTAATGGACGATCACCGCCCAAATAAAACACGTTACCATACAGCTGCCATAGACTTGAGTGACCCAAGCCATATCAACTCCCACCAAACAATATACTTAAAATATTCAATATTCCAACCAACGCCATAATTTTGTACTATCCCTTGAAACATTGATGTAGTTAATTGTTTGTAAAGAATTGTTAAGCAAGTATGGATGTTTATTCGGTCGATGTTTTTAATTAAGTTTCTTTGTATTGTTAAAGGAAAAGGTCAGAATGTTTGAGACTAATATGAAATATGTTGTCTGTGGATCTCTTAAACATTTTGTATCTGTTGAGTTTGTCATGCATGTAGTGTTGGTTGTGGCCACGAAGTTGGTGTCGAAATGACAGCAGTCAATTATAACATGTACTTAGAACAAATGTTGTTCTTTATTGGTATTTAATATTGATGTAAGGTCAAGGTCACACTGGAACACCCATCAGTTCAGGACACCTGAAGGTTTAAGAACCTTATAGTTTTAGATCGTTGTAGTTGTATATCCACGTATGTTCAGTGTTGATTGTTATAAATGTAATCATTGAATATTCCATGTATTGTGTCGGTCGCCATTTATTTTAATTAATCGTATGTATGAATTGTGTTGATCTTTTAATAAACAGTATTTTCCAAGCGACTCGATTCTTTCAACATACCTATTAATGGAGCGAAGATAATATTGAAAGGCATGATCAAATCCAAAGCTTTTATTTTATTTACAATATAATAGTAATATGAAAGTAAACAAAATGTAACGTACCAAAAATTGTTTTATTAATCGAGTAACATAATACCGGGAGCGGGGCCGGGCGACTGCGAGTAACTCAACCAAACACTAGCACCATTAGTAAAAAAATATACGCCCTTCGCCGCGTTCAACAGGTGAGAGGTCTCTCGATAACTTACTATAAACATTATAAAAACCGCTATTTACGCCGTTACAGGAACATTTTTATTTAACTTGCAATGGGACTAGTATAGACAACGTACTACTCCATTTTGTCATGACGTCTGTTACACGGAGTTACGAATTACATATTATATATAAGTTTAAATAAGGCCGCATTCACACTAGCTTTCGATGTTGATACATACGATGTCACCGATGTGAAACCTCCTAGGGAACTCTTTCTATGACACGCGACGCTTCACTGACCGTCATCTGTTTTGTGACTTACGTTTCATTGTTTTGTGCTGTCTTGTGTGTGAATGTTGTGTTACAATCGTCCATATACGGTACACGTGTTATAGAAGGAGCTTCCCGGACGTCTCACTCAGAACAGTTACCGCCACATTCGCCGTCCACTCTTACATCTAACTTCTCGACTCTAGACTGATCAAGTCTTACAAGCTAAGTGGAATAAAATAATTGTATAATATTATATAATAATTTACACTAAAAATGTTAGTACATAATTGCGAGGTGGCACACTAGCTCTGTACGACGGCTTACACGAAATTCTGCTGGGAGGAGAGCGATCGATATTAACTTGTCAAATATTAAGCCACTGGGTTTTCATGACATTAAGACAGGATTCTCTGTCATAACACAAGGGCTCGAACTGCAATCATCGTCTATATTATATATAATGTTGCAACAGGAATGGCCGTGCCTAATTGTACTACGTTAACCATATACGGTCAGTTCACAAATGTGTTCCATAAATTATTTTTAAGACACGCGTCATCGAGGAGGACAGCCGATGTCACCTGGAACGTTACTTTAAAGCTTACCTACATTTTATTTCATTATCTACAAACAGGGAAACAATTCTAAAGTCCAATGTTAATAATCATTTAAATACACAAAATAGTTTCCCCGCGAGGGTAATAAATTACTTTTAATATAAAAATTTGGTGTTAACTCAGTCAGGCATTATTATACAGGTCCCATTACTTTAACATATTTCAATGTGATCTCGTGCGTGTAGAGGTCGTCTGAGGCGTCTCTGTACTACAACTATACAACCGATACTGGTCATGTTTGAACACACTGGACTAGTCGGATCGCTCGTCGGAATGTAACGCGCACGTGCGGCAGTCTGACGCCTGACAGCTGTCACTTGACATTTGACAGCTGTCATTTGACAGGTGACGTCAGACGAGAAAGCACTTGATACCAACGAGAATATTACCGGCGGGATACAGCACTGTTACGTATACGGTAACTGACCGCATTACACATAAATAACATTTTTTTTTTAATTTTTTCTTTAATATATATACATATATAACATAAAATACGGCATACATATAACGCATATATTTGTATCAAAATAATAATTTGTTTTGTACGCGTGAGCTCGTCGGTTCTCCAAAGTATATAACATTCATATAATTTATTTATTAATCGAATAAACACGAATGTAACAAATATATCCAGCATCTGTATATAGTACAATATGTATGCGTTACTTTAGCTGATACCAATTTCAATATATACATATATTATAAGTGAGAATAGAAACGTTCTAACATAATAAATAGTTAACGTCGACTAATAACACGTGGAACATTTTTAACCATAAGTCCTGGTGCATGCGAAAATGAACCTTACCACTATTTGTTTTAAACATTTAACAGAAAAAAAACGATAATATACACCATTGTGTTAATAATTTCAACAAGTTGCAGATTAAAGTAGCGTGTATCGTAAACAAATATATCAAATAAAACCATATTCCTTTTTAATGATATGAACACATAATTGACGCGCCTGAGCCTGTTCTTTATACAACGCTATCAGAACATTATTTCATACTGTTCAAATTAAATTTGTACCCGGTTCATCGGGTCACATCCAACTAATTCGATTAGATTCTTAACAAAAAAAAAATCAACCAACAAATATCAAAAGAAAACCTAACCCTCGCTGACCACGTAACTTACATAACAAATAAAAAAAAAATTCCAATGATACGAAAACTAATAAAAATTTGAAACTCTATGATCAGATAGATTTAATAATGAACTCACGATAACTATATACAGAGTAACTTACAACATAACGTTACCGACAGCGACACGTGAGAACGAAACGAGGGTAGGAACGAAAAGGAGCTCATTAATATATTTGTGACTATGTTTGTTAAGGCACATGAGGGCCGAGACTCACTAGATACTCACTGATAAACAGGCGGAACCGGGGGAAGTAACATGTCGATATTAGTGAGGCGACGATTCATAAATTATACTATCGATAAAACTTTTAGGTACGATAAAGGGCAAGCTCAGGTTAACATTTAGTACGTACGTCGACTTATACCAACATCTAGTACGGTTTCTTTAGTACTAACATTCAAATGTTATTATTTTGTATCGATAACCAAAACACCGACTGTTTCTAGTTTTTTCTCTCCTACTAATATATAAACCGTTGGTGTTAGTCCTATCGAGCTGTCGACGTAACTTCATTTGTAATAATTAACAGAATCGGTCCAACGAGTTCCAACAACAAACTATAACAGTGTAGAAATAAGTCCATTTACAAATAAACAAAAAACCGGTAAAAATTGCACAGTACTTTGAACAGGGCGAGTAACCTAGGAACACAATAGGTAGTATATTATTTGTGGGGGGAGTGGGGGGAGCTTCACTACTTTAGGCCTCTCTCACAACCGTTGCGTTACCGACTAAGGCCGCCGGGTCTGTACATATGTATTACATCTAATATACTCGGCGGTTCATCATTTTGTTTCCTATTAACTTTATCCTCGGGTCGTCTCCGGGTCGCACCCCGTACAACACGTCTTTCTGTATCGGATGTCTATACTCGGAGACCGCCCGATATTTTCTCTATTTTCGTAATAGGATTTTAACAATACTAGAAAATTATGTTTATCCTTACAAGCTAGTCGACTCACACCGGCGGCTGTACGAGCCTGTACAAACAGAGACGTACACTCACCGACGAAATGCAGATTAATATAAATACCGATCAGTTATGATAATAATAATTCCTCTATATATATTTGTACATTCAAGAAACGGGTCCTTCATGTCAAAAATGTCAAACCGGAAGCAAGCGACATCAAAGATTCTGTTAACTAATCTGTCAATGTATCCTCAGCCGCGAGCGTGGTGTGGGTACAGTCGTACACTATCCGTGAGTACGTTCTCTGTACCGTCATATAATTTCCTACAATATTCGTAATATCTACACTCGAGCCTGGTGTATTTGAGCTCGTGTCACAAGTGTACCACGGATGGTGTAAGTCTTCCACCACGCCAGGTCGCGGCGAGGCTCTCATCACTCCACATCCTACATTAATGGCAGTTATTTAAGTAAAGCGTCGCCTCCCGAACGAACCCGCTCTGTTGATAGGGAACATGGAGTACGGCGGGGCTCGGGAGACGAATAACAATAATATTAATTAATAGTAGGGGCTTGTGATCCGTTACTGACGAGGAGGACGACGGACGACACCTGGCACCTGGAAACAGAAACTACAGCTGGAGTTATACAGGCCGTGAGGGACAGCTGGAAACTGACAAGAGATAACACGAACAGGATTCGAACCCGCTACTTCTGGAAAATGGCGATACCGTCGCTTTACAAGCTAAGCTATAGTGTGCTGATTGGACTCGATGAGTTAAGCCTTCTATATATGTATTTGAAACCATTATATTGAGATGGCTTGATCTATATTATCTTTAGATATGTAGTAGTCAATTAGGCATATTTTATTGTATAAATACATAACTGATTCTAGTTAAAATGACGCTGGTTGCTAACTGTGTGATGTAAGTAACGTGAGTATCCGTACGTGTGTGAGGTCGTGCGCGGCGTGTGCTACGTGGCGTCCGCCGCGTACTTCTCGCTCCTCATGAAGTCTATCTGTGTGTAGAGACGCGGCGCGGGCGCGGCGGGCGTGCGGCGCGGCTCCAGGTCCAGGGACGCGTAGTGGAGCGCCCCGCCCAGCTCTGGGGACGGGAGGGAGACACATGTTAGAGAGTGGCTGGTGGAAGGTCTGCCGACCTCTGTTAGAATGTATTGTAGACTCACTGCGCAGGTCATCGGGGCGCGGGTTGGCGGCCAGCGTGACGTACTGCGGCGAGGAGGGCTCGGGGCTGGCGGCGCGCGGCTCCACCAGCTCGCGGACCGTGCTCAGCTGGTGGTGGTCGTCGTCGTCCGCCTCGCCCGGGGACGAGGGCGACTCCATAGACATGTGGAACAGCGTCTGTGAGCCGAGCGGCGTGCGCGGCTCGCGGCGGCGGCGGCGCTCGTCCGGCGACCCCGGCCCGGAGCCCGAGCTGCAGCCCACCGAGGGCGGCGGCTGGCGGGGAGCCCCTATGGCGATGGGGCGTGTGGGCGCGCGCCCGTACGTCATCTCCACGTACCCGTCGGGCGTGGCGGGCGCGGCGGGCCCAGGCGTGGAGGCGGCGGGCGGCTCGCCGGGCCTCATCTCCACGTACCCGGCGTTCCGAGGCGACATGTCCACGTACTCGTCCACGTTACGTCGGCTGGTCTCCATGAACCCGGCGGCGGGCGGGGTGCGCGCCACTATGACCTGGAGGAGAACTACTTGTCAAACTTTCTGTATATTTGTACTACCGGTGTATTTATTTATTTATTTATTTATTTGAATGGCACATCAACAGTACATACATTAAACACTTAAAACTAAACATTCAAAACTGACACTCATCTGATGTGTGTACCAATTATAGACGTACACAGCACTGCTGACGATTACTGTCTAGTTGCTTAATAATAATACTTATTGATTACAAAGATATAAAAAAAAAATAAAGATAAAAAAAGAAGAAAGAATATCAGAAAACAATCATATAAACTACTACAGCTAAATTCTACTAACAGGATTTGACAAAACATCACACATTTTTCGCTTAAACTTCGGCAAGGAATCGGAAAAACATCAATATTTTGAGTTGATGCACACAGATCGTTATTCTGGCCACATATTCCATTTATCGGGGAATATTTAGCAACATTTGTGTGTGACTTCGCTATGTAAAACAATTTATTGTTAGGTTTTCTAGGAGGACGACATGGGACTGAGATATTAATTTTATGGAGAGCCTGTTCACATTGGACAGTGCCGTTCATAATTTTAAATAATATTATTAAATCAAGAAGTTTTCTTCGATTTCGCAAGGTTTCCATTAAAAAAATATATCTCATAATATATTCTAGATGTCTAGTGAAAGCGCGTTAAATCGATTGAACTCTTTGTGAGTTAACAGCGTATATAGGGTTCCAGATCTGAGACGCGAACTCTAGAATTGTCCTAACAAGAGCATTGAACAGGTAAAGCTTTGTTTTAATCGTAAATCCTTTTGTATTTCTCTTAATTAATCCAATCATTTGAGCTCCCTTGGCATTTATTATGTTAATATGGAGCACAAAAGTTAATTTTATATCAATTAAAAGATATGATCGGAACCATTCCAAAAGTAAAGTGCCAAAGCCAATAGATTCTAACTTTTTCAGCAATGTAGGATGATGTACTTTATCAAAAGCATATACAGGGTGACTGGTGAATTACTATCAATATTTAAGGAGCATACTCGGTACATGATTCTCATTCGAATTATGTAAAAAAAATAGGTACTTAATTTTTGACCAAATTTCCGTATAAATAAATAAAGTGTGTACACGTTCCAAGTGTTCCTAGTGTGGACGCGTGCGGCGGCGTGCTGATACAACAACACGCCGCCGCGCGCGTATGTGTGAGTGTGTGTGTATACCTAATCTGTAGGGTGTTCATACGATGCGTAATTAATTACATAACTTTTGGTTAACTTTACTCAGAAGTTTATGAATATTTATGTTATATTTATTTTTATTTTGTCATATATGATCGTCAAATATCACGTCCTCAAATATTGATAGTAATTCACCAGTCACCCTGTATATGGCATCCACCTGATGGCCACTATGCACTTCTTGTACTATATCACTGACAAAACATAAGAGATTTGTTTGAACAGAATATCCTTTTCTAAAACCGTGTTGAAAAGGTGTTAAAAATTTGTAAACAAAACAGGAGAATCTGGAATATATAAGCGTTTCAAAATTTTTAGACAAACTGGATAATATGGAAATTGGTCTGTAGTTTTTGATGTTATCGGGTGCACCCTTTTTAAAAATAGGTATGATTCTAGCTTTTTTTCACAATTCAGGAAATATGCCGTCTGCCAAAGATCTATTAGGTAAAAATTTTAGTAAGGGGCACTGATAATTGTGTTGCATATTTTTGAATAAAATAAGGAGAAATATTATCAGGGCCAGGGCCTTTTTTACTGTCTATGTCCCACAATACCTTGCAGACTTCCACTTTATTAAATTTTAATTCAATTATTTGTTCGTGATTATATTATCAGAATACACAGATGAGAAGTGATGCGCAAAAAGATTAGCAATTTCTGAACCAGCTTTCGCAGTAACGTCGTTTAAATGCATATTTGCGGGCAATGATGATGAATTTGAACGCTTGTTATTAAAGAAACGCCAAAATGTTTTACCATCTCTAGTAAGAGCCTCCTCAATCTTATGCTTATATATTTGGTGACATTCATCATATAATCTATTGCAACGATCTCGTAGCAACCGAAATTCATATTCATCTCTGGGATTTTTATACTTCCGATACCTTACACGAAGTTTGAACTATTCTCACAATAACCTAATCAAGGCCTTTGTGTACCATGGAGGATAGTTTTTAGATTTAAATTTAATTTTTCTGGTACAAATGGTTCTATTATTTTGTAGAGTATATTATAAAATACAGACACCATCCCATTAAAACAAACGCAAAAGAAAAACTCGGTTTCCCAATTTACTAGTTCAAGTTCCGTTGTAATTTTACTATAATCTGCCTTTAAAAAATTAGGAATTACGCACTCATTTGGTGGTAATGGATGGAAATTCAGATCCTCAATATTACACAAAAGATTTGGATGGTGAGCATCCAATTCACGCAACAAATCCAAAGCTTTAGTCACTTTTACATTAGGTAAATTACTAATAATCAAGTCCAAAATATGGCCTCTATCATTCGTTACACCATTACACTGATATAAATTATTCATATTTATGAAGTCTATAAATAATGTTTGTATGGTGTATTCGTATGAAATAAATGAACACCTTCGGCGCGGGCGAGTTGGAGGAGAAGTCGAGCTCCATGAGGTCGTCGGCGGAGGCGCGCGGGTAGGAGTGTGTGTGTGTGTGGGGCACGTGCTGCGGCCGCGTGGCGGGCGGCAGGGGCTTGCGTCTAGCGCCCGCACTGTACGCGCGCAGCCTGGCGGGCTCGGCTCTGGCCGCGGGCCGGGAGCCCACGCTGTAGGCGCGCGTCGACCGCTCCTCCGCGATGTGAGCTGTTGCTGGCTCCAGTTGATACTCGCTAGCAATGGAAATGTTTCGTTAACTTAGGAATTTTTTTATTTTCAATGTGATTAGAAAGAAAAGACATTTATTGACATACACACAAAAAAAAAAATATCCAAAAAAGGATATAAAAACAATATTACAAAAATAAAGAAAATGAATATAATTGATATAACACTTGTGTGCAGTCAAAAGGAGACAGCTCAGGCTATGAGTGCTTTTTATCTCTGCTGATTTTCAGCTGTCTCCCTTGTGGCCACGCAATGACAGTATCAACCAAAGTAAAAACCAAAAAAAAAAACATATTTCCATTTTTATACACTGAACGATAGTGAAGGCCAAACGAAGTGTGAGCAACAACGCGTACTACTATAAGGTATGTTAGGTATTATTTTATTTAGTACATATATTTGTTATTTATATATAAAATTTATTACCAACTTATTTTTAGTCAAAGAATCTGTTTGTGTTATTGAAATATGCCTACTAATAATGTAATTATGATTATTGATTAAGATCTTGTTCTATTGTATATATTTTACCTGAACCTAGGGTCTGTGGAGGGCGTTCCGCTGCAGACGGAGCCGGAGGAGGAGACTAGTGGTAGAGGCTCGTGTATGGGTCCCATGGGCATGTAGCCCTCGGGCAGCGCGGGAGACCCCGATACCACCTCCGCCTCCTCCACACATGTAGACGACGTGCGCGAGTGAGCGATGGAACTGCCGCGGGTCGTCATGCTAAACAATTATATACTTTATTACATTACATATACAGTTCTAAATAGAACATATAATTCTCACTCATTCATATAATGTTGTTGTGTTAACATTCCCCGTGCTAACCTCATGAAGTCTTTGGACATGACGTCACAACAGTCAGGTTCCTCCGGTATCCGCGGCGTCCGGTACCACTCCGATATCGAGTCGATGTCGTCTCGTGACGATTCTAAACCTGAAAGAAATAAATCTATGTTAAAAATATATGAGTGTGAGAATCGGGACTGGAGTTCATCAGTTATAATCTCGGAATAACCTCTATATCTTTATATACAGGGTGACTGGTGAATTACTATCAATATTTAAGGAGGACACTCGGTACATGATTCTCATTCGAATTATGTAAAAAAAATAGGTACTTAATTTTTGACCAAATTTCCGTATAAATAAATAAAGTGTTGACACGTTCCAAGTGTTCTAAGTGTGGACGCGTACGGCGGCGTGCTGATACAACACAACGCCGCCGCACTCGTATGTGTGAGTGTGGGTGTATACCTAATCTGTAGGGTGTTCATACGATGCGTAATTAATTACATAACTTTTGGTTAACTTTACTTAGAAGTTTATTAATATTTATGATATATTAATTTTTATTTTGTCATATATGACCGTCACAAATCACGTCCTCAAATATCGATAGTAATTCACCAGTCACCCTGTATATATATAATTCTTTTGTGAGTGTGTATGTCACTGAACTTCTCTCAAACGACTGGACCGATTTTGATGAAATTTTTTGTGTGTGTGTTCAAGGGGATCTGTGAATGGTTTAGATTCACAATTTTGTCCGCTGGACAATGTTTTTTTAATTAATTTTTAATTTATTAGTAGTTGTTGATACAAACGTTTTTTTTTTGATAATAGATTTGACAACTAACTAATAGGTCAATCATTCTGTCCCACTTCAGAACACGGAGATTTATGGCTTAAAGGTAAACACCAAAAAAATAAATAAAAAAATCAGAACAAAGAAAAAAGTATTATAATTGACGCGGATTGAAATTAACGTGGACGAAGTCGCGGGCAAAAACTAGTATATAATATATATCAATGTCCGTACTTGAGTGTATGGGGTCCCGTTCGTCCCTGAAGGCTGCTCCTCGCTCCAGGTCCAGTCCGCTGCTGGCTCGTGTCGGCATCGTGTCGCATCGCTTACGGAGCGAACTGGAGTCTGAGGACAAACATGAGGCCACTGATGTACGGGTACATACTAACATAACTAATGACACTAGGAAATGTCTTTAGATAAAGCAAAGGGAACTCTGTTTTTTCTACTTATTGCTAAATAAAACAAAATAAATGACCTATTTGTTTACAATACAAAACTGACACAAAAAATAGTCTACGCGAGAGGACAACACGTACATAGATCTGACGATCTAAGAGGAAATGTAAAAATTGAAAAGAAAATAAATATTTTATTTACATATATACAGAACGCAGGAACACATAATAAGCACATGCAATATAAAAAAACAGCGAACATCAAAACATAAACACAATCCCCAAGTATGATATATAACATAGTGTTGCCAGGACGATAAAAATAATTAAAGTCATGGCAACACCGTCGAGTGATGTATGTAAGGCGGGTGATGCGTGTGTGTGTGTGTGTGTGTGTGTGTGTATACATACTGGTGGTGTGAGCCGGCGACAGTTTAGCGAGCCTGGTGCCGGTGCTGGCTCGTCGCAGCCAGGCCGGACGCCGCCCGTCCGTACCGTTAGCCCTGGAGTACAGCGCCTTGTCCAGCTCCTCGCCTGTCAGTGGAGCGGAGTGAGTCCGTCCGTGATGCACCCTTGGCCGCTCCGACAAACCCTCCGGACACGCCTCGAACGGTTGTACCGGACACGAGGGCAATGACCCCGTCCGGTGATGAGTGGCCTGGCCAGTGTCCGCTGGGGACACAATGGGAAGCGACGGTTACATGGAGACAGACGACGGTACCATCGCCTTTATACTTTAGATATAATCGTTTCTATTCAACTCTATCAGGTACCGTCCTCTTGTGTTTTAATGGGTTAGAACATGGCGACGGTGACGTCACCAGCTTACAAACATGAGATACGATCACACCACCACCACCACCACCATGCAGACAATATAAGACCTTAACGTAACCGAGAACAGTTCACAATGCCTCAAATACACTACATGCGGACATACTCCCTGACGAAACACAGTCTCACATCAAATAACATAAAGAAATACATCAAAATAAAATAAATAAACAACCAGGACAAACGGGACGCACGGACACAGAACAATATATAATTCCATATGATAAATGGATCATATCGAAATCATTAAAGGAAGGACCGAGATAAAAGTTAAGTATAAAATATTTTAAACAGATCTCATTTCGCATTATTTATGTATATTTAAATGTATACAATACTTTTTGGTTTTATGAATAATCATGCTTTTTACATTTTTTTTACATTACATTATAGTGTTATTTATTTACAGTACCACATGACCAATGAACATATTTACATTTATGAATGATGATTATTTCTACATGAATGAATGAACGGATGAATGATGATGACATCAAGTTATCATTCCACAGCCAGCCACGAGTCGTTCTTTATCATTCCCACCTGTCGTTAGCGTGTGCGTGTATGTGTGTTGCATGCGTGTGTGTGTATGTGTGTGTGTGTCACATTACCGTGTGTGAGTGGTGTGAGAGGAGCCACGGCCGCTGCCGAGTCGTCTATAGTGTTGGCCGCACACACACACTGCCGTATACACGACCCGACACACAGGCCCTTGTCTGAAACGTGACACACGCTCAGTGTGACCGCGGCCTTATCCTCCTCGCCTCGTGTGCTACAAGCTTTATATGGGCTACAGTGGATTCGTGGGCGTCTACTAGTCTACTGGCTAGTCGTAACCCGTACTTCTAGCCGATTAATTGGTATACTGAAGCTGCTTGTAACTAGTCTACTGATAGCTTGTTAGTTACACACTACTGACCCTTCCGCCCCCTCACGAACAATACCGACTGAGGTTCAACTTGTACTTCAATAAATGTTAGTGACATGTGATATAATTCGCCACAAAGAATGTACTAATGTATATTGTTGATAGCGGAGTCGGAAGGGCTACTGTGACTACTGAGCGATCTACTACTACTTGTACTACTCTACTGAGATGTCTGAATTATTAACAACTACTGCTAAGCGTCAATACTGAATACTAATCTACTTCAACTAACTACATGACAATGTGTGATGTGGACATAAACCGATGAGGATTATTTAGCTTTTTTTTAAAATTATTTGTTTTATTTGGTATTTTTTCCATTAAAACTGATAAATAGAACGTAATAACCTCGTCCTAGTATCCACGTATAGTGTTACCCTACCAGTATAGAAGCCGGCCCGCCCCCTCCCGTCGGAGTATGTCTGCCTCCTCGCAGGTAGCGGGTGTGATCCCTCCAGCAGGTTCTTGTTGTGTATCACGATGTGATCCTTCTCGTTCTCCGTCTCCTTGGCACAGTTCCTCATAGCGCTGGAACATGACGTACATAATATAATGATTATCATTTTTTTATGTACCAACATAATATAAATATATTTTTCAAAGCTATGTAGCTTAATATAGGCGATAAATTTCTCATCAAGTTGCATAATTATAGTTAATAGATGGCGCTGTCAGTTGGTAACCATTTCTATCTATTGAAGTACCAATAACGGATCCTATAGAGTATATCTTTATATACAGGGTGACTGGTGAATTACTATCAATATTTAAGGAGAATACTCGGTACATGATTGTCATTCGAATTATGTAAAAAAAATAGGCACTTAGTTTTTGACAAAATTTCCGTATAAATAAATAAAGTGTTGACACGTTCCAAGTGTTCCAAGTCTGGACGCGTGCGGCGGCGTGCTGATACAACACTACGCCCCGCTCGCGTATGTGTGAGTGTATACCTAATCTGTAGGGTGTTCACACGATGCGTAATTAATTACATAACTTTTGGTTAACTTTACTTAGAAGTTTATTAATATTTATGTTATATTAATTTTTATTTTGTCATATATGATCGTCAAATATCACGTCCTCAAGTATCGATAGTAATTCACCAGTCACCCTGTATATAATTCTTCTGTGAGTGTGTATGTCACTGAACTTCTCTCAAACGATGACAGATTTTGATGAAATTTTTGTGCGTGTTCAAGGGTTCTGGGAATGGTTTAGATTCACAATTTTATCCACTGGACAATGTATTTTTAATTAATTTTTAATTTATTAGTAGTTGTTGATACAAACGTTTTTTTTGACATTAGATTTGACAACTAACTAATATGTCCATCATTCTGTCGCACTTCAAAACATGGAGATTTATGGCTTTAATAGGTAAACTCAGAAAATATAAATAAAAAAACGTAACAGATATTTCTTGATTATAGGACGATACGAAGTTCGCCGGGTCTTCTAGTATTAGTATAAAGGTGATCAGTTGCGGCTGTACCTTAAGTGCACTCGTGCGCTGAACCACCAATTCAAAAGATTTAAAAATTACAAAATATTACTTCATCTTTATTTTTAAATTACCATTAATATTTATTTTTTCAACATATAAAAACTTATAATAAAATTAATTTCCTAATTATGGTCAAAAGTTTGAGCGCTTCACTAAACTCATATCGTGCGCTGCGGCGAGTGCACGAGCACTGTTAATACATCTTGTATGAAATACTCTTTAATACGCCTGACGCGTGAAACAAAAGATAGTTCATAGAAATGTTCCGAGTAATGAGTCGGTTCTCGAGCGCCGCACGAGCGGCCGAAGATTACCGAGAGCACCCGATGTATGACGAATTGAGCCGGCCGGCAAGGGCGCGAAATGATGGGTGCTATGATTGACATTTCGTTATGTTTTGTTGCATTTTTTAATTTTAATATTTTAGTAGTGCACCACCGGTTCGATTACCCACCGGCCGCCACTGAAGGTGATACTAACTGGTATATAGTGGAGTGCATGCTCTGCGCTATGTTGGAGTCGTCAGAGTGCATCCACAGCTCGCCCGCGCCGGTGGCCGTCTGTCTCCCAACTTCCATGTAGAAGAAACACTCGGAGTCACCGCAACTGTAGGAGAAATAAAATAAAAAAAATAAACTTTATTGACTCAAGGATTACTTAAAAATCAAGTTGCAAGGGCCCCTATACAAGGTGCAAACCCGTATTACTGGGTGAGAAGATAACACGATATGATTATAATATTAAAATTACTGTATAATAATCAAATTGAATTAGTAGTGTTTAAGAAGTTAGCTAACGTATTCATATTTTCAGATAGACTCATAATTCGCGGAATATAAATTAACATTCTAAAAAATTCATTTTCCCAGCATTTCATTCAGTTAATGTAACTAAAACAAAAAAATAATAATACTAAACTGCATTATATTTGCCTTAAATAAAACTGTCGTTATGATTTAAGTATTATAGTATAATTTTGTTTTAATTAATCATTCTCCAAAGTTTCAACAATATTAAAAGCAGATAAATGTCTCAAGCTTCAACTACCAGACCTTCATTATGACTAGAACTTAATTTACAGAAAATTGCTTCGCTGTTAATCCATTTCAACTTCAAAGTTTCCTTCGATTTCTTTTTATATATGATAGCTAATTAAATAAATACATAATAAAATATATCCATTTGGGAGATAGTATAATAACGTTACTAGCTGCGCTCCGCGGTGTTACCCGCGGATTTCCCTGATGTAAAATAGCCTATATGCTATTCCTGGACGTCAGCTTCCTGTATACAAAATTTTATCAAAATCTCACCGCCTGATGTTCTTCAAGGAGTACTCGACCCTCTCCGGGATCCCCAAGTCACTGATGACATTGTTCAGACTCTTAATCTTAACCAAGGCCAGGGTCTTATCTGTTAGACACAGATTGTACAGCCCCTGGATGTTTTTAGACGCTCCCAAACCCTTCTTCTGAACATTCACTTGCCACACGTGTTCTGAAAATATTTACGTATCAAGATAAAATGTAACAAATAATTTTTAATATAAATCTGAATATTATTTATAAAGAAATCTTTTTGTATGCCTTACTAAAGAATGATATTCATTTCCTATAATTAATTAATAAAAATAATGCCAACTGATAACAGACAATAACACAAATAATAAAAAAAAACAATTAAAATTAACATGAATCTGCAATTTCTGTACGCTTACCGCAAGTTTTAATCGTTACGTTACAAACGGAGCGTTAATAGTTTTTCATTCATTTACCGCCTAACGTACAGTATTAACGTAATATTTCTCGTTTAACGTTCAATACAATGATAAACGGGCAAAGCTTGGTAAACAATATGACGACGCAAACTTGTAGCGAAAAGCGCAAACTGTACGACAACATATAAGTTACATTAGTAAGTATAAAGTCCATAGTAATAATAAAATTAAACAACGCCGTAGATAAAATTCGTCGCGATACATTAAATATCAATTGGCATCGCATGTTTATTACATGACAGGAAAGTTAAATATTATTATGTTAACGTTGAGGGGACTTCCCCGTTTTCGTGGAAGCAGTAAATAAAGTGTAATGTGTGGGGGACCGGGCAGGGCACGCGATTGTTGTACTACATGGAATTGGGATGAGAAGGTATTTATTATATGACCCGGGAAATGATGGGATAATTTCCAAGGTCGCGACGACATACGACGAAAGCAATAAATATGAAAATGTATCATTGATGTAATTTTTATGACTTTCATATAATAATTTTGTGTCAAATCATCATTATTAGCCTATGGTTCTTACATGGAGAAGGTTAGTGCATTAATCACCACTTTTACTCAAGGCGGATTGACGTTTTTAAACTTATAAACGTAATTAAAAGTACAAATTTCCTCACGATGTTTTTTTTTACCACCCGTCAGTGATGCCTAAATACTCTTACAGTACATATAACTGAAAAATCACATTGGTACTTCCCAGGTTTCGAACCCGCACCCTCGTGCACGAGAGGCGGGACTTTAACCTCTAGACCACGACTTAGTTTGTGTTAACTTAATTTCATATGAGTAAACGACATTTATATTGGAATGACGTATTATTTATTTGCGATATTTTAATTGGCACTCTTCATTGTAAAATGATTGCAGAAAAAGGACTATTAAATAATATTCTAAACAAAATTACTCCATTGCTCTGAACTGATGATAAATAACTTATTTCATGCACAAAAATTTCTGATTATTATTATTTACTAAGCCCATAGAAAAGTACAATGCTTATGACTATTGACCCTTAATAAATTGACATTCAATAAATTTTATTAAATTAATTAAAATACATATTAAAATTAGTCCATACTGTTACTGCCTGTTATTTATTTTCTTCTGGTTATTATAGTAGTTTGTTTACACATAATTTAAGTTACATAAGGTCAATGACCCGATAGCCTTGAGACTACTATAGTATGTTTCCATCATCTATGTTGATTCATCACTAATAAAATGTGTGCTCTGGCATTGATAACACATTTTTGGGTGTTATATATTGTGCAATACACATACACACACATATATACATATATATATATACATTTTATTATTTTATAACACTATCACCTAACTATAGCCTCTGTTAACTGTTATTTAATAAAGAGGTGCAGATTTAAATATTTCAGAGCATAATAATAATAAATATTTATTTCTTACTTAAAAAGGTATAAAAACAATATTAAAAGTTATAAAAGCCGAGTTCATGTATTATGATAGAGGAAATCATATCGGTTTTTCCATTTAGTAATAATATTTGTGATATTTATCTCATAATAATTTCCCTATTGACAAATAATATATTTTTAAACAAACATTATCTTGATTGTTTTGCACAGTTTAACTTACAGTTTTGTATTGAGGATAATATATGGAAAAAATATTGTGCAATCAATATTAGCAGATATATTTTTATAATTAATATAGAATATTATTATCTGTTTATTATGAAGATGTTACCGGTTTTATTATAGACTATTGACTTAGTCCAACAATCATAATATTGGTCCCAAGATCTGAGAGATAAGAAACCTCCATACTACACACTTATTTAGTGAAAGATTAACGATTACATATGATAAACAATATTTAAAACACTTTTGTTAATAGGGATTAAATTTTATTTTTAGTTTAAAATGTTATAAATCTACAACATTAAAATATTGGAAACTTGATGAAAAGAGATAAAAAGTAGATATTAGATACTTAATCATGATAAATTTCAGATTTAAATAACAATATAAACAAAATAACAATTATTAAAAAAAATTAATTGAGAATAATTAATTATATTATTGTTCTAACATGTGGGTAATACATAAATAAATTATACATGGCCAACGGAAATGTTACATTTTAATATACATGCCTACCTTAATGTACAATGATAATCATAATTAATGATTTAAGATGAAGTGGAGGGTATGAAGATATTGAAATCGCCACTGAGTCTAGGCAGTTCATAGATCTCATCAATCTCATGTAATTAATATTAGTAACTCACGTATGGGATGCAGGAGCTCATCACTGGCGTCATCCGTCCTGAACTGTTTGAGGATAGCAGTGAGCCAAGCATGCAGGTCCTGCTCATTCTCAGCCACTATACACAATTGTTCTTCCTTAGTAAACAAAGCTATCACATGCTTCTGTTTCAAGTCCAATCTCCGCGTTATATTGTAGCAGCTCTTCAGCAGCAGGACGCGCCGAGGAGCCGCTCCGGACCGAAATTTCTTCTCCGATTCGTAGTATTCGAGCCTCGCGGAACACTCCGAGGTTTCCGCGCGAAGCACGAAATACTTCTTCTTCATCGTCTTCAACTTCCGAAGGTGGCCTTGACGCACGACGGCGCCCTCCACCATTGCAGCCATGTCAGCGCCTCCGCATCAGCACTGGCACAAACACAACGGATAACCTTGAAGTTGTTTACGTACTGTGATGAAAGTCACTCGTCACTCGTCACACCGTCGACGCGACTAAAAATACGTACTATCTCTTTTCAATAGTGCGTAAATAGTAAGGCGCTCGACAAATCGAACGGCGTAACTAATCCGCATTGGGAATAGTCCTGCAGGCGCCATATGACCGCCTATATTAAACTGATACGATTTTTGAACGTGATAACGGCAATAACCCCACAGCAATGCGGTTCCAATATCAAAATACAACAACAAACGCTTTTCAATCCATAATTTGGTACGCTCGCTATTACACTCGGTCATTCACAGATACACGAGTTTAGAAAGAGATAAAATCATTCATAGTAAACGTAATCCGCATTCCGCACGCCCTTCCGTAGGAACGCAGGGCATGGAAGTCACGCCGTGGTCATGCCTTCATGCAACATCAAAACAATCAATTTTACGCGCTATACATAACAGTTTCAAAAACATTAATTTTTTGAAAATGAAAGGGTCAGATTACACAAAATCATTTGTAAGTTATGCACTTGATTTATAAAACTCATGTATTTGCGCGTCGTTTTTTATTGGTTCCTCGCTATTGCGTGTCATTTTATTCGAACGACGATTATGAGAAAATAGTGCCGTATTGTTCGGATACGTTCCTATTGTTGTAGACGAATGTTTAAAATTAAACATTTATACAATGTATAATTGCTTCAGAAAAATATAAATATAAGAATATTTAATATATTAAATTTATATTAAAGTAAAATATTTGTTTTTAAAATATTATTATAAACTTATCAGAGTATCCGAACTTTAAAATGAATTTGGGATTGACAACACTTAAAAAATATGTCCGTCTCCTTTTGTGTCCGTCATTCATTCATTCATTTACTTGCTAAAAAAGGTAGAGAACAGAAACGGGAAATGTTGGCAAATTACTGCTGATAAATACGTGTAATAGTTTTGTTGTCTTATTTTTGCTTATTGTTAGCTAAAACTGTGCGGTTTACATTAATAGTCAAGTTATGAACGATCTGTTTACATTGTGAAATAAGCAATTACTTCTATGCCGTGAAAATTATAGTCCTGGCGAAAGGATAGTTTTTGTAGCGATTTTGGTGTTTTCAATGTTCGATGATGGTACTTGTAGCCCATATCAATGTACAGTTATCTGATATTGTTGAGTGTCGAATTGATTATATATAAATGGTAGCAACTGGCCGATTATTGTCCATCGTATGTAAACAGTAAAGTTGCAACAGTCTATCAACACTCGCGGTTTAGTTTTGCAACCACCGCTAGACCGTGAAAACCGTGCCAAGCTTGCACCCTCGGAGTTTGAGAAAACATTATGCTTGTATCATAAATACTCTTATAAGATATATTTTTCATTTTAGGTGAGATACAATGGACTATAGATCATAACTGTGAAGGTAATGTCAATTGAAATGTATATTCTTGATGTAGTTTTATTGTATGATTCTTGTAATAAAATAAAGTTGATGGTGTTTTAGAAATATTATGGCATCTGGCACATCATCTCTAGAGAGTAATGGGAGCAATGGTAAGCCATTTACTTTAATATTTAGTATAAAAGAGAATTGTTATTGATTTAAAAACAAGCTCTGCCTAAAATGTATTGGTCAGTGATTTATGACTCCTTTTCAAATGTTGTTTCTTCATTCAACTAAAGCCACTTGAAACTCAACCTATCACATTTTATATTAACTTTATTATTCTCTACTGCTTATGTATTGTAAGTACATGAGATGTGATTATACAAGTGGTCATTATTAAAAACTGTGTTACACTAGTTTTATGTTAGTGATTTCAATTTTAATAAGGATATGTACTATTTCTTCTGTAATATATACATATATACATTTCCTTTCACTCACAAATATTTTTCCAGAGTCAATATCCCACAGCTATGTAAGCAATGAAAGACACAACACAACTCAGCTGCCGACAATACCTATACCCATTGAATATGAAGTTCTATCATCGTCCCAGTGTTACGACAAGCCCAACTACACCAGCCATACTCACACCATGAGTGCTCCGTATGAGCTGGGGCAGTATGACGTCATCAATAAACAAGCTAATGAGAACTTGAAGCAGCAGTGCGAGAAGGCCTTGCATGATCTGAACCAGTTACGACGACAACACACAGAGACATCCCGACGCTGTGAGCATGTTATGAAAGTAAGATATACTATGATTATATATTTATTTTGTCAATATGCTATAGTCGTTGAAATATATTAAAGAAAATATCAATTTATTATTGATATAAGCATAGGAAATAAATAAATTGCTGTTTGTTATTCAGAAGATTAAAAATTTTAGTATACAATATATATATATAAGAAAGATAAAAATATAGAAAAATAAAAACTAACATAATATCCAATGACCTGAATATTTCTTATTCATGGCTGTGGCAAAGAGAACAAAGCATTTGATTTTGTTTGTATATAACACTGGTGTAGCAGAGCCACGGAAAGTAATATTGCGATAGCACTATTCATCTGAATGAAAAATGTGGTTTAAAAAACCTCACTAAAGGCACGCCGTGACCTACTGAACTATATTTTTCAATACCCTTTGAAATGTATTTAACATTTTTTGAAACACGGACGAAAATGTTGCTGGAATTTCTCTTTCTGAAATTCTTGTTTCATTCATGTTTTAATTAGTTTGTAAACTGCAGTGAAATCAAATGAGTTATTATTATTATTAGCGGTGACTTTCTTTCTATTATTATAAGTGTTAGTGTTCTCAATTTTTTTTTATTTTGCAAGGAGTTGGAATACTTCCGCGGTCAACATCGAGCGGCGATGAATCAACTTGAGGTGTCCGCTCAGGAGGCGAGCAGTCTGCGCGGCAAGTACGGGGACCTGCTAAATGATAACCAACGGTACTTATAGGATCATTTATACCATTATCTATGGCTTTTCCAAGAATTTCCAGGCTAACCAGTATATATTGATCTGTGTGAGAAAACTGCCCATCTTTTAGGAAATCAGTCGAGACGTATCTTGTTCACTGGTTCTATAAGCATTGTGACCTAACTGCCATTTAAATCAATATAAACAGTGTTCCAAATTTTTTTGCCTTTATTTGATGTTTTTTATATTCAAACTATAAGCATAGTCGGATCATAGCAAATCACATGAAAGGTCTATTTACCCCCTACCACCTATTATTATCAACTGTGTTTTCCATACTTTTCATAATTTTTTCCAGGCTGGAACGCGAGGTGCAAGTTCTACAAGGCGGCGGCGCCGAGGGCGGGGAGGCTCTTGTACACGCACTCAGAGACTTCGACGCGCTCAAAGAGGAATTTGAATGTTTTCAGAAGAGGTATCTTACTATTGACATAATCAAATCAATATGTACTTGCAAGGACCTTTAATAGTTATCTGGTCCTATGTGATTAAGTACTTAAGTTCTATGTAGATCGGTAATGTGCATGACTGTAAATGATGAAACATTCCAGATATGATGACCTCATCGAAAACCACAACACAACCTTGGAGAAGCTTCAGATTGTTCAGGAAGAGAATAGTAGGCTGAAGACACAATGCCATGACCTCACGCAGGAGAGGAATTCAGTTGTGAGCTATCTTACATTACAATTATTAAATTGCATATGGGACAAAAAATATTATAGAAAAATAATCATAATTCCCCAAATTCTCAGAAGTAATCCTCATTGTTATTTTATATTAAATCTATTTCAGCAGATTATAACTTTATCATAATTATACATAATCACCTAAAACAATTTGTCATAGAATTTCTGTAAAGGTCTTATAATTTTAACCAGTTTCAGTGGGGCATATAATTGTTGTAGTTATATCAAAATAGAACTTGTGGTGCCCTCTATGTAAGCAATGTAAACTAACGTAGAACACATTTCACAATTAAAAATAAAACTATTCTTTCTTCCTTGTTCGGTCAGCAAGCACATTGTTTTATTTTAATAATAAGATTGAATGTTTCATGTTAATTATTAGAATGTACTATAAAGTGTTGTGTCGTAGATCCGTGAGCGGAACGCCCTGAAGCAGCAGGTGGCCAGCGTGGTGCGGCAGTGGGAGGGAGGAGTGAGGGAGAGGGCTGACATTAAGAGACTCACGGACGAAAGGAACGCCGCTATGGCTGAGTACACGCTCATTATGAGCGAGAGGTACGACACAGACTATATTGATAATGAGATCTAACACTCGCCAGTATTAATTTATTTATTTTTACACATTATAACTAAATATGCAAATAATTGATGAGTAAACATTATAAATGAGCTGAGTTATAACCCAAAAACTATGTGAACACAAATTATATACTAAATATTTCACTTATAAAAAAAATACATCAGCACTTAAAAATACATAAGAAAACACACTTACAATTAATAGAAAGAGTTTTACACAGAAAAATATGAACAAGTTACAGCAATAAAAATATAATGAAAAATAAAATGAAATCATAAACCGGTGAAGTGAGGAACTAAATAATGTATAAGAAAATAGATTCAATCACTATTATTGGCTGTTAACTTAAAACCAATTGTTTTTTAAATAGATTTAGGTTATTGTTGAAAATGTCAATACTATCTATCGCGTCGTTTTCAAGAAAAACCTTATTATATGCGCGACACATACATCCGATATTTAAATTAAGCTAATATATAAACCTCCATGTGAGAAGAGGCTTTTGCTCAGTGGGTTGTGACAGGCTGATGATGACAATAAATTTTTACGGATTACTAAGAGTATTTTATCTCGTCTCTATCAGACATCTCGTTTCTCGGTTAACATTCACAGTAATTATAATTTGATAATTTTTTTAGGATGTATGGATGTTTGTATTGGTTATGATAAAATTTCACATAGCTTAGAAGTCAGGATAACATATTTCATATCTTAAGACTCGGTTATTTTTGAAGTGAAATGTTTTGACATAGTCTATAGACGTCGCTGTCGGTTGGTTAACATACTGTACATATTGTTCTTACATACTGTACACGCGCCATGCTTTCAGAGAACCATGTCGCAGGTCAACAGAATAAATTTGTTAAAATATGACTAAGTAACAGAAAAATATCTTTGGTAGGAAATTCATTACAATTTTATTTTACTAGAATTAAATTGATATTTCTATTTTACAAAGGCAATGTTATCTAATGAAAAATCTTATTTGATGTCATTTAATGATTTGGCTATATAAATTTGATATAATTTTTGGTTCCACTCCAAAATAAATAAATTTAAGTAAGTCCTTAATAAAAATATATTATCTACGAATTATTTTCCCAGGGACACGGTTCATAAGGAAATGGAAAAGCTATCTGATGATCTGCAAGCAGCTTTAAAGCGGGTAGCGGCGCTGGAAGCAGCGCTTCAAGCGTCCCGCGACGAACAGCGAGCTACCGCACTGCAGGTGATTAAAAACTAGAATTTTCTTTCCTTGAAATTATGTAAATTATTCTATACTAGCTTTCGCCCGCGTGGAGTTCGGTTATATCGTGTTTCCAAGAGAACCTTTCAAAAGTCTGGGATAAAAACTATCCTATATTCTTTCTCAAGGTCAACTCCATCTCTGCACCAAATTTCATTAAAATCAGTTCAGTGGTTTAGGCGTGAAAGCGTAACAGACAGACAGACAGAGTTACTTTCGCATTTATAATATTAGTAGGGATAACTGTTAATATGAAAAACTTTGTATGGGAGATCTTTAACAAATCAATGTAAGAGTTATTTTTGTATATAACTAGGCCGAGAGTCTCCGTCGTGAGATCGAGTCAGCTCTTGCGGATCGCGACCGAGCCATCAAGGAGTGCACCGACCTCAAAACACCGCAGAACACGAACACGCTGGGGAAGTCACGGTGAGATATAACAGATGACATTACAAAATATACCCTACATTAATGGCTTTAGAACTCATTATAATTCTGGCAAAAGTTAGCCTTTCATTTAGTGGGAATAATTTGTCCTTTTTTTTGTGGATTTTGGTGGGAATAAATTTGAATATCCCGTATTAAAATTTGAATTTAAAAAGTTTTGGTAATGTTAGTACATGCTTTTGACTTTTTGCAGACAAGACAACTCTGTATATCACCACTTGGGCCTCTCGACGGGCGTTGGCACCGACGGCTTCTTGAACGGACAGCATTCCAATGATCCGTCTATGGATAAGTTGCAAGGTACTATATAAAAAGATCTATCATAGAATAAAACTTTATTAAAATCACTCAGGGAAGAAATTGTCATTCTACCTTTTTTGAAATTTAAGGCTAAATTAAAAACATACTGTCAAACTTTATAATATTTGAATGTTTGTTATAAATAAGGTCACCATTGACTTAATATATGTTTATTATTATGTCACTGGTTTAAGTTTCCTATGTAAGTGAACTTTGTTCTTAATGGGAAATAGATCATCTTACCGTTAACCATATATATTATTGACAAAAAACTTAATACTGTACTATTAAAACAAAAAACTCCTTCAAAACTTCTTCCTACTGAGAAAAATATTAGAAGAAGAAATATACTTTATTGCACTCAAAAACATAGGAAATAACATTACATATAAGTATAGAAAATTTAAGTCAAGGGCGGCCTTATCACTACAAGCGATCTCTTACTTTTAATTGAATAATGAATAATCTTACGATAATAATTGAATGTGACACGATGACGTCATCAGGTCTGGTCCTCGGTGAATCAGACAAGGTCCAGTCGGATAACTTGGAGCAAGCCAACCAGGAGCTGCAGCGGCTGAGGGCCCGCTCACACCGCCTGCAGGCCGAGCTGGCGGACGCGCTGCGGGAGGCTGACGTGGCGCGACGGAGGAGGGACTGGGCCTTCTGCGAGAGGGACAAGCTGCTGCAGGAGAGGGAGAGCGTTAAGGCGCTCTGTAACAGACTCAGGAAGGTAGTGATACATCATGTGTATATCAGAGGAAAAACCACTGCATAAAAGTAGCCGAAACGTCGGGAGTATGTAGTTCATAATCAAAAATAAAAACGCGAATCAAAAATCCGAAAATATTAGTTTCATTTAAATGAGTACTCGCGAAAATATTAGATCTCATTAATCTCTGCATATTCTATAAAATATATATTGAATGCATACGTTGGGATTTTGTGATTGTTTGTCTTATTTGTATGCTTCAACGCATCAACATATTTTTACATGAATACTATATGGTTTGTTCCAAATACCTGAAAAATCATCAGCATATCTAGCAAACTATCTAAATAGTAAAAAATTCCCAAAGGGGATTCTTTCAGTAATTAGTTTACTAAATCATATACAAAATTCGAAGTGTACTCTGTTATATGATAATATTTTTGTGAATGAAGGAGCGAGACCAGATGGTGGGCGACTTGGCGGAGGCGCGGAGACACGGAAACAACAAGAAGGAGGTCAAGGACAAGCCGCGGGCGAGGTCACACGAGGACAAGTGTCGACTGGCCTGGTACAGAGACTATGGAGACTTACAGGTTACATGACAACATATACCTCACACTTCTTCTTCTTCCTGGCAATTTCCCAGCTTTAAGCCAGGGTCTGCCTTACATGTTGTAAATAGTTTTTGGCTAATTGATTTTACGACCGGCCCGCCTGCCTGACATCAACCCTCTTTTGGGAATGTATTAATCAGTGATGTCTAAATACTCTTAGAAAGTACATATGAGTCGGAAAAATCACATTGGTACTTGTCTGGGCCAGGATCGAACCCGCGCCGTCATGCATGAGAGTCGTGCCTTTTAACCACTGGGCCACCACTGACTAACTGTCCTATATAAACGTTATATAAAGTTGTCGATCCAGTGATCTCATATGAATATTCTTTATGTTGTTGTATGAACAGAAGTTGGAATGGGAGGAATTGGAGGTGGAGCTGGAAGGTAGTCCTGACGCCTTGGGGCTCGAGTTCTGTGGAGGGAGGGAGGCGGGCGCCGACCAACACGTGTACGTGACCTCCGTGAGGACCGGCTCGCTGGCCGACGGGAAGATACTGTGAGGATATACTGATATATAGACTATACGGATATACAGACTAGGGAGACCACACAGACTACACGGATATACAGACTAGGCAGATCACACAGACTATATAGATATACAGACTAGACAGACCACACAGACTATACAGATATACAGACTAGGAAGACCACACAGACTATATAGATATACAGACTAGGGAGACCACACAGACTATACAGACAAATAGAGTATACAAACGAGGCATGCATGCCTCTCTTGAAGAATTATAAGGACAGAAATATTTTTTACAAGTATTGAGTAATTTAATTAAGGCACTAGGAACTGGATTTTAATTTTATTCGTGCATTGGTCGTCGCTCGTTCAGTTTTCATTTATTATATTCATCTTATCTCTTTTTCAAGCGTTTTTTCTTAGTTGACTGACTTTATTATATTTGTTACTGACGCGTTATATCGTTTTTAAAGTCAAGTTCAGTATTCAAAGAAAACTCCTATGTATAAGTTAAGTATATTTTTTATTATTATTTTTTTTTGTCCCTAGTCCTCTAGATCGTATCACGGAGGCCTGCGGCGGCTCGGGGTGGTCCCGGGGCGGAGTCCTAGCGGGCTGTCTGAGGGCGGCGCTGTCCCGGGGCGGAGCCCTGCTCAGAATACAACGAGCGCGCGCCAGGAGAATAGACATACGACTGGCGCCGCGGGACCACGCCGCGCTCACACTCTCACACGGTATGAATATATGTATATATATATAAGATATGTAATCTTTATATATATAATTCTTCTGTGAGTGTGTATGTCACTGAACTTCTCTCAAACGACTGGACAGATTTTGATGAAATTTTTTGTGTGTGTTCAAGGATATCTGGGAATGGTTTAGATTCAGAAGTTTGTCCGCTCGACAATGTTTTTTTAATTAATTTTTAATTTATTAGTTGTTGTTGATACAAACATTTTATTTGACATTAGATTTGACAACTAACTAATATGTCAATCATTCTGTCGCACTTCGAAACACGGGGATTTATGGCTTTAATAGCTAAACTCCAAAAATATAAATAAAAAAACGTAAAAGATATTTCTTGAGTATAGAGCGATACGAAGTTCGCCGGGTCTTCTAATATATGTATATAGAATGTTACTATCACAACTTCTACTGTTCTACATGACGTTAATTTCTTATGAAAAGTATGAATTTCGTTTTGTGAATAGTATTTGATTAAGAGAAAATCCCGCGACTCGTAACTAAAGAACATCATATATTGTGTAATGTTTTGTAATTGATGAAGTACATGATTGTAATGTTTTTTTGTATCGTAGGTATTTTCATCAGCAAAATAAGTCGCGGCAGCGCCATCTCTAAGGAGGGGAGTCTCCAGGTCGGAGACAGGGTCGTTAGCGTACGTTTTTATTCATTACAACGATTATAATATTTCTTATATTGTAGTGCTTTAAATATCGTATATTCTCCATACAGATCAACAATCGTTCTCTGGAGGGAGTAAAGAGTGTGTCGGAAGCGTTATCACTGTTAGACGACAGCTCGTACGACGGCGCCACGCTCACCGTATTGAGATCACTGCCGACCTTACCACGGTACGAAACACACACACACACACAAACACACACACACACAAACATACACACATACACATGCACCTTGAAATACGTATGCATATAAGCACATGCTCACGAACAGATCAAAACAAAAATGCAGTGATAAAAAACCATATAAAAGCATGCATATAAGTATGATACAAAAATATCATATAAAGAGCAAAAGTAGCAGTTATAGTCGTAACTAGATAGACAAAAAATAAAATAAAATAAAATTAGCCTTTATTGCTGTTTCAAATTGCAAAAACTACTTTTACTAAATAACTACATTTTATACCTAATATTATCATATTTCTTAATCTAATCTTAAATTGCTTATAATTAAATTATTCGTTTTAAAAACAGCTTGTCTTCGACATAGGCCTCCTCTAAAGACTTCCACTTTTCTCTATCACTTGCATAACGTATTCAAAAAATGTTGCAAACATCCGACAAAAACACGCGCGCGTTCATACAAACAACAACACGCGCTCACTGACATCTTATTATGTGTCCAGGGCTGTGGACTGTGAGGGCGACTGTAAGGACGACGGGTGCTTCATACCACCTCCCGACAATAAGGTAAAAACAACCTAATTTATATAAACTATGTATAAAGATTGTATTTTTGAATACATACAAAATAATACCCCATGGACACCGTTATGACGTCATCGCATCTATTTCTAGTATTCGGTAAAAGAATATTTTTTTCAGTGATGCCAAGTTAGCTAACCTATTAGATAGTGAAAATAATAGTATTCATTTAAATAAAAGTAATATTTTTCGTATTACACTACGCGTAATTTCTTTATTTTTTAACTACATAATCTCGTTTATGTTACTTTTTAGCAACCGTGATCACGGTCACACGAGATGTGAATGTCTCGTTTACACCTAGTATAATCCGAAAACTATTAGTTTCAATTTAATATATAAGTAATATTTGTACATGTTATAGATTCACACGGAGCACAGCGTGGCAGACTTTGACAGACGATATGTGTACCACGTGACCGCGGGCAGCCAGGGGAAGATCTGCCAGGATAGGGGTAGGTGGATCATTAATATATATACAGTGTAAACTCTATATAACGACACTGAAGGGACCGTGCATTTTAGTGCGTTATAGAGAGTTGCCGTTAAATAGAGGGAAGAAAAATCAGAATTAGAAAAAGACAAAGTTTGTTTCAGACTACTGTTAGTACTTATGTACATAAAAAAGAATGTTATAAAGTCTGTTGTTTTTGTTTGACGTGTTTTGCTGCACCAGTAATGTTGTTGTATTTTTTACGTATTTTATTCATATCTTGCGATATTGAGGCATATTGGTGAAGAACGAATTTCTTAGTAAGTTTGGTATGCATGATTACGACAGTGGAGTTTATTGCGGGCTAGGATAACAAAGCGACAAAAAATGTACACAGCTGCGCATTTTTTACTAATTTTAGCAACTTAAAGGGTACTTTTTATTACTTAATTTTGTCGTTATTGAGAGTGGCTGTGACGCTATATAGAGTGTATCATTGTATGGTAGACAAGCTAAACCAACCAAAGTCAAATGATTTCGACGCTTTAGAGAGTTTGTCGTTAAATCGAGTGTCGTTATATGGAGTTTACACTGTATATATATATACTAGCTGACATATGCATATATGTTCTGCCATATAAAAATAGGGGTTGCTGATAAAAGTGTAACAATCTAGGGTTGTATGTATTTTTAATGCGACAATAAAAAAAGGATTTAAAAAATTAAAGAAAAATGATAAGGGGCAACCCTTATCACTAAGATGTATTAAAAATTGATGTCGGCCGATTCTGAGACCTAATTAATATGTGTAGAAAATTTCATGAGAATCGGTCCAGCCTTTTCGGAACGAACATTGTGACACGAGAATTTTATATATAATACATACAGACATTGTAATAACTATAGGTCGGGAAATTACACTGTCTATCAAGTGTTGCATTACATGAAACTCATACGTTATTTATATAATGTAAGGCACACATGTAGTAATTTTATTATTATAAAAGACAGTAAACAACTCGTACGCCTCTCGAGCGATATCTGTATCAGCAATCGAGCGCCGATAAGATTGTACTACAGACACGGCTTATAAAGCCGGGGGCACACGGGGTTCGACAATAATAATAATAAATATTATTATTGATTCAGAAGAATTTTGACTTTGGTCTTTTTATATACGCACACATTAGTAATTTAAATTAATATATAAAAATGAATGTTAGTATGTTTTTAACAACGAAATTACTTGAATAAGTTGTTATAGTGTGGGAAGTATTAAATAGGGAGTGGTTATTATAACCATATTCAGTGCTATCATTAAATATAAGGTGACGTACTCGATGACGAAAACTGTTATTGAAATTAACGTTGGGTGTGTCTGCAGCTTAATGTATTGTGTTCTAGTAGTGCATCGTGTTGCAGGCGCGTGGGACATGCTGAGGGGGAAGATAGAGGCGGTCACCAGCAAGGGGAAAGACAAACAGAAGGTATGGACGACCATTATAACTTGACACACGGATAGGTATACATAGGTGTCGAAAGAACCATTTAGATCAGTGTTTAAATTTAATAACTTGGTAATAATAAATATTTTTAACTGTAACGCTGAATTAACACTGATTTGTACGTTTTTATTCCACTTTCTTTACTTCTTGATTCTTTCATTTGTTTCAATTTTAATAGTTTTCGTCAATTGATTATTTTTCTATCATCGTAAAAGATAGAAACCGATGTTATAGCTACTATTATAGTATATTAGTTACTCTAATTGTTATAATTATATTTGTGTGTGTGTGTCAGGTGCCCGAGTCGGACGCCATAGCCGAGCTGGACTCCGTCATAGACAGCTACCACGGGAAGACAAGTGAGTGTAACATAGACTCAGGTATCATGGTTTAGTTGACTAACAAATATATATAGAAATATGAACTCTATACATAACATTCTAATATGTTTTCAGTAAAAGAGACGAGCAGCGTGTTGAAAAGATCACGACGGAAAAATAAGGAAGCACAGAATGATGCTAAAAATGGCGGCACGTGGCCAAAAGCGCGGGCCAACTTTGTGCTAGAAGACAGCGCTACGGGGACGATAGTGCAGCCTAGGTCAAGGAAAGAGAGACCGCCGCTGTCCATCCTGCTCAGTCCGCCGACCAAACTGCCGCCTGAACCTCAGAGGTCCAACACCAACAGAAACTCGAACCCCATACCTCTGGGACACGTGCCCTTGACACAAGTGACCACGCCCGCACGACACTCAGTATACAAATCAATAGAATCGAGTCCCGCTGTGGAACATTTCCCGAAACCGGCTCCCTTGGCCATACATAACCCCTTCGCTCCGCCAAACATGAACTTCGAGAAGAATCGCACTCTGGAAAAGGACAAAATATCTATCAGTGACTACGAACAGGACGTCACTCCGAATAGATTGAGTCTAGTATTGAACCCGTCGGAGGATTCTCTGTTCTACCAACCGGGCAGGAACCGCACTAAAAGTCCGCACTCCTTAGACTTCATGGTCAACAAGGGTCCTAATTCCCTGGACTTTGTATCCAGAAAATCACCGAGTTCACTGGACCATACAATAAAAAATCACTCGGGTAAAGATATACTCGACTCTTACTATTCATCGAAGAAGTCATCTTCGCCGAAGACGGTCAACAAATATCCATCGGACAGCGACAGCTTCGGGCCCGACAGCTTGAACAGCAACGGGAACTTCCCGATGACCGGCACGCTGCCCTCACAGTCGCGGCTACAATCACAATACTACAGAGGGCCATTCACTAACTCTAACCCACACTCATCGAGTCGCTACACGCATCTGTCGAGTCCCACTAACATCCCCCAAAGTCAATCCGGGGAGAGCATCGGCACGAGCTACGACATGCACTCGTTCACGTCCCACACGCACAACATGTCCGACCTACACCCGGTCCCGAGGGTCAACAGGGACTATCATCACACATACGAGGGCGGGACCTTTCCTAGGAAGAAGGAGAACCAGCGGTTCAGAATACCCTCCAACCCGAGCGTCACATCCAAGAACTCTGCGGGGAAACTCAGCACCGGCTCCATAGAACGAAGCTCCGAACGAAATTCACCGATGCCGACTTTCCATGTCGAAGTATTAAGTCCGGGACGAGGTGCAAAACAAATGGCCCATAAAAGTACTAGGAATTCGATGCCGGAATATTGCGGGCTGGGCTGGAACAAACCGTTGCCGGGAGAACTAAGGCGGGTGCACATCGATAAGAGTCAGCAGCCTCTGGGTATTCAAATATACTGTCCGCCGAGCAGCGGGGGCGTGTTCGTGTCCACCGTCAACGAGAACTCCTTGGCCAGCCAGGTGGGGCTGCAAGTTGGAGACCAGTTATTGGAAGTCTGCGGCATCAACATGCGCTCAGCGACGTACACTTTAGCAGCGAGCGTATTACGTCAGATAGGAAATTCCATAACGATGTTAGTACAGTTCAGTCCCGAGAAATACAAGGACGAAATGGAGGTCCCGGGGAGCTCTTCGTCCGGGGAGAGTTCTCACGACGAAGAGGTTTCCTTATCCGGGTCTCCCACACCCAGGAACTCGCCCGGACCACAGCAATCATTACGAATGGACGTGCCATCAACAGACGTGGCTACACTGCGACAGTCGCAGGGTAATAAAGATCTACCCAGGTTTCTCTTAATAGAAATGCGAAACTGTTCAGATTTGGGCATCAGTCTGGTTGGTGGTAACGCCGTGGGTATATTCGTGCACAGCGTTCAGATGGACTCTCCAGCGTACATCGCGGGATTGAGGACAGGGGATCAAATATTGGAGTACAATAACGTGGACTTGAGACGAGCCACCGCTGAACAAGCCGCTTTGGAACTAGCGAAACCGGCGGATAAGGTTCGTTATTAATGATGCAAGCTATATAACTTAAACTTATAATTATAATAATAATTTTTATTTATTTAGGCATCTTTGACCCATCTTTTTTAGTACACATTTTCCATATACCGATGTTAGTAACAACTTATTTATTATTATTTAATTAATTACATTTACAATTAAATTATTATCCAGTTAATAAATAATTCAATTGAATTAGTATTATGTAATTTAATTACTATACAGTTCAAATATAAATAATTTTTAAGCTTTAATTTTTAATACATATTTATTAATTTCATAATTCAATCCAATTACTTTAATACAATTCACCAATTTATAAATCGTGATTAATAATTTATTATCAATTCATTTCAAATACAAAAGAAATGTTATCTAATAATTCAATTTAATTAATATTGTTTAATTTAATTATTATAATTTCACTTTAATAGTTTTATAATTAAAAATAAATTCCAATTTTAAATACATAATAATTTCATAATTTCGAGAACAAAATCAACTATTTATAAACATGCAATTTTGAAGTGATGTCACAGGATTATTATTAGCAATACATGTCCAATGTTTATGAATGAATTCGTTATATATTTTACTATAAAATATTTGTCTATATTTCAGGTGAGCGTGTTAGTCCGACACGACCTCCAGCAATATCACGAAATAAAAGACAAGCCTGGGGATGCGTTCTACATTCGAGCGGGTTTCGACCGCTGTGCTAAAATCAACTCTATAGGCATGGACACTATAGATGAATACTCACTGTGGTTCAGAAAAGACGAGGTGCTCTTCGTAGATAATACGCTGTTCAATGGAGCGCCGGGGCTGTGGCGCGCCTGGCAGCTAGACTGTAAAGGGGTCAAGCGACATTGGGGTACTATACCCAGCAAGTTCAAGTAAGCAAAGACAATATCTCATAAAATATGATAAAGTAAGAAAAATATACTGATCAGAAAGTGTTTTGTTTTAGAGTGGAAGATATTCTGCGTAGATCAGTGGGTACTTTAGATAACGAAGCCCAACGTCGAGCTTCAAGTACTGCACGGAGGTCGTTTTTCCGCCGCAAAAAGCATAGAGACAGTAAAGAATTGGCGTCCTTCTCTAACACGGAGCTTGGATGCTGGAGTGACTCCGGGACCCTCGCTGATGACGCACCGCCGCTATCATACCAGAGAGTGGAGAGGCTGCATTGTAAATACTTTATATATACATATATCGAGATAATATTAATTTAATCGTTATGAGAGTTAACAAGGTTATAATATCCATATATCATATCCAACGCAAAAAAAAAATCATTCTACCGATATCTTAATGATATATTCCATAGTTAAAGGACCGATATATAATGTCTATTAACACACTACCAAAGGTTATGGGGGAAAAAAAACTCAATTGCGTTTCTCTGTGAAAGAAATGTTTTATTATAATAATCATAAATTACAAAACACTGTAGTTCCATAAAAGTAATTATTATAAATATTACAAACCTGTGAAAGAAACAACATTTAAATCTATTAACTTATTCCTAATTTAATTAATTAGTGTTCTTAAAAACGAAACAATTATTTCACCACGTGTTCTTAAAAAGTAATCCTAGTAGTGACAGCAGCGACCCTCATGACATATAAGCTGCGTTCAAAAACTAAAACTAAATGAAGATTCATATATGCCTTCATTTATAATATAGTTTCTGTCTGTTGTCCGTCAGACGGGTCCCGTCGGCCGGTGGCTGTGCTGGGTCCTCTCCGGGAGTGTGTGGCGGGCAAGCTGGTGACTGACTGGCCGCATGTGTTCGCACGAGCCAGGCCGGACCCGCGAGCTCTGAGGGACCTCGCTGATAAGGTTTGTATTGAAAAACTAACTCATTAGATTTAATTTAAGAGGCTGTGGACTACTTTTTTTGACAAAATTTTATTAATATGTAATTTTGCATCGCTAAAAACTATGTGATACTACCGATTAATTGTAATCTGTGCAGTGGCGGCTGGTGGGTTATCGAACTGGTGGTTCACTTTACTAAAATATTGACAAAAACAACAATTGACATAAAATATGTCTATTTTTTGTACATTAAATCAATGCGACGACATTTTTCTGTAGCGAAATGTTCTATCACCTTTTTATTAAAATCTGATTCCTGTTTCTGTCCAAATCGATTCTCCGCCAAAAATAATGCAAGGAAAACAAAAGAATGTATTAAGACGCTCACATCCACACAACCATTTCTTTCTATTATACATTTCACTTTTAAAACTTCGTATAAATGCTTTATTTTTCGATTTACACTCTTGTTTTAAATTTAAAAAAGGCCGTGGCGGCCCGGCCAATTTTATGTTCACTTTACTTTGAAAATTTTTGTTATTTTCTTTAATATAATCAATATTTATACTCATTTTCAACTAATAAATAACACGGTACAGAATAAAAGTTCTATTATAGAAACGAAATAAAAACTAAAACGAATTACGGAAATAATTATAAACAATAACGAATTAACGCGTCACGCATATAGTGAAAGTTGAAACAATACCAATAACGATTAACGAAATGTCAATCATAGCACCCATCCTTTCGGCCGGCCCCTTGCCGGCCGGCTCAATACGTCATACATCGGGTGCTCTCGGTAACCTTCGGCCGCTTCGTGCGGCGCGCGAGAACCGACTCGTTACTCGGTACATTTCTATGAACTATCTTTTGTCTCACGCGTCAGGCGTATTGATGCGTGTCTCATACAAGATGTATTAGCAGTTCTCGTGCACTCGCCGGAGCGCACGATATGAGTTTAGTAAAGCGCTCAAACTTTTTGACCATAATTGGAAATTAAATTTTTTATACCTTTTTGTATGTTTAAAAAATAAATATTAAAATGGTAATTTAAAAATTAAGATGACATAATATTTTGTAATTTTTAAATATTTTGAATTGGTGGTTCAGCGCACGGGCGCACTTAAGGTACAGCCGCCACTGAATCTGTGCTTGCGACAAATTACATCCAGATTTTCTTATGCCGTTTCCATCTTATAATAGCGTATATACGTACTTTCTTAGCTATAATAGCAATAATTTTTATATTTCTATTTCTTACAGGGTATTCACTGCATAATAGACGTCAGCGTGCCTACGATAGAAAAGCTCCACAAGCATCAGATATATCCTATTGTTCTGTTCATCAAGTTCAAGTCCTTCAAACAGATCAAAGAAGTTAAAGACACGAGGTATCCCGCGGATAAGGTTTCGGCCAAAGCCGCCAAGGAGATGTACGAACACGGATTGAAAGTCGAAAACGAATATAGGAATTATATATCAGGTGAGTTACCGCTGGACGTATATATATATATATTTATTTATTTATTTCACAAATAATAACATTAACAAACTTACAAAAAAATCGCCAAACTGCAGAACAGTTTGTTGGTGAAAAAGGCGCTATTACTTAACGTCTACATATGTTATTGTTAGGGTCCGGATTAATATGTAAATACATATTTTTAATTTACGCGATTTTCGGTCTAGAATGTGTTTTTTTATATGGATTGTCATATTTAGACTGAGAGATCATTCAGCATATAATGCTATATATCAACCAAATGGTCAGTTTTCATTTTTATAATTTAATGAAGCACTTTATTGTGTATTGCAACCAATTTGATAAGGCTAGTGTAATGAAAGTTGAATAAAACTATAATTTTTTGTTGAAATAAATATTTCGCTATTTTGTTCATCGTTTTTTAAATGTAACTTAACACGATGTATGTCACGAGTGACCCTTTTCTTATAGTAAAACAATATTTAATTATGAAAGTACTTGATTTTATACTCCATATTTTTTCCATATTTTAGATTTTTTAATACATATTTATCCGGGCCCTAGTTATTATATAATTACATATAACACCTATGTATGTAGCGCTTAGTTTTAAGTTTACACACACATACTTACATACATTTTTAATACACTTTTAATACATTTTTTTTACATCCTTTTTACAGGTACATAGTTTTTTTTAACTTACACATAATATGTATCTAATATATTTCAAATATCTGTTTTACTTTAAACTTTAGTTTTCTTTTTAATGATGCTATACTTGTGTCTTCAGCAATGCTTCTTAACATATCTATCTTACCGGTGTCAAGTATTGTCTTGTCCGTTTGCCATAGTAGTTTGTTATGGATAGAATGAATGGATGTTATCGACTGTTGTTGAGTCTACTGTTACTAATACGATACTTGTCCGTCACAGCCGAGATCCCCGCGGGCGTGAACATCGCCTACATGTGCACACAGATCAAGGAAGCGGTCGAGGAGGAGCAGAACAAGACGCTGTGGGTCCCCTCCGCGCAGGCCTGACCCCTGCCCCCCCCGCCGCCGGCCCGCGCCCCGCCCCCCGGGCCCGCCGCTCCGCCCCCCCGCGCGCCACGACACAAGTCAGTGACCTTCTGTGCACACTGTAAATACGACCGGCAGCCGGCGCCGCTCCCCGACACGGACGTGAGGTACTACTCCGACCCCGGACACCCCGAGCAGCCCAAACAGAAGACCAAGAAGAAACCCAAAGAGACCAAGTACGACGATAGGACGGACGCCGACCTAAAGTACTACTCGGAGCCGGACGCCAAGTACTTCGAGATAGACTACGTGTTCCTCAAGGAGCTGAGGAAGATAGCCCGCAACAACTGTCCCAAGTGTAAGAGGAAGAGGTCGAGGAAGTACGAGGGGAGGACCAAGGAGAGGAGGCAACGAGGAGGCCGGCTGAGAGAGAACTACGTGCTCTGTAACGGACGGTACCACAGCGAGATGGAGCACTGCCAGCTGTGCTGCAAGATCTGCAACCGGTCCACAGACACGATGGACTCATTAGACGACTACTCACTGGCCTCTAAAAGCTACAGCCTGCCTTCCAGCCGCGCTACCACGAGTTCTCGATCCAAGTCCACGCCCAGCCGCCGTGACAGGAAGAACTCGATCCAGTCTAATAAATCTGTGTCGTTTCTCGAATCCAGCACCGAGGAGCTGAAGGCCGAGCCCAACTACACGGCCACGAGCTTCACGAACGATCTCAAGAAGTTCCTCCTCAAGCCGTCGTCGCCGAGACTCAGCTTGCGAGAGAAGTTCATGATCAGCTTCAAACAAGAACTGGAAGCCACCAAGAGGTCACCCAAGCTGCGAGCCATCAAGGGCCTGTGGAAGTCGTACTGATCGATACACTACATCTATATACAATATATCAGTACTATAACCTTTGATCAGTCAACATTTCCTTACTTTGGTGCTTATTTTACAATCTTCTATATATATATTTCGGTCAACGTAAGTGTTCAGAATTGGTCTAAAACGTTCAGTAGGTGCTAGCGTTAATGGAAGCTTTACGGCTCCTCGCGCGGGAGCCGGTCCTAGGTAATGTATTGGACAATCTCTTAACTATAAGACACTACACACTTCATGTTCCTTTCCTTAAAACTATACTACAGTTTCTACGATACATACTAGTTTTATTAAAACAATTTATTTTATATAAAAGATTATTAAATATCTTCTCTATGGTGATTTATTTAACCGCAACTAATGTCTATTTTCCAATTAAACTTTAATATTTTTAATAATTGTCTTTTTGAATGATCGTCTTTGTATTCTGATATCGAGAACTACTAATAGTCTTCGGAAACTTGTTTAGAATAGTTTACAAGTCTAATATACAAGTAGGTAGTGGTATTTAGTTGTTTGACGGTAGTACAGTAGGGAACAATAGGATTTTAAAGACTTCGTTGGGTTTATAGATATTTATAATATTGTAGTTCCCATGGACCCATAATGCGTATTCGCAGTCGGAGTCGGTTCTGGGATAGAAAAGGTAGCGGTAGTAATATAGTACTACGGAACCATTAGTATTGTGAAAGAGAAGTTACACAAAAAAAGTATTATAATCATCATAGCATAATAACAGCGATAGCGAGGGTAGTGTAACAGTTTTCTGTCTAGATCATAACAGCTGTAGCGCGGAGTAGGCGGGGTCTAATGTGCCAAAATATATGCCGTTTACATTACAATACTCATGGCTTCAATGAGAAAAGTTTGTTATTATGTAATAATAGAAGCATCGTATACAACATATTGTATTACATATTGTATTAGTGCATACACTAAACTTAGCTCACCTCCTATTATTTGCACGTTTAGTTGGCACAATGCACCGTTTCGCTATCTGTAGACGCGATATTCGTCTCTATTACACACACTATATAGTCTAAATTCGTATTGTAGGCTTTAAGGCGATTATCATGTTAGGAGTTAGTCGGAATATTTAGGGTTGGTAACATACGTAGGACCAACTTTTAATGATCGCGTATTAAATTATCTCCGGGTTGTGTTTAAACATGTTTCTACAGTTAGAGGCCTTCCTGACTCGTTTGAGGGTAATTTTACAAATTTACAAATAAAATTTTTATTCAATGACCTATAGTACTATTCGGTACCGACTTGGGTTCGGTTGGCTTTATTTCGAGCAATAAACTATGAACGTGGAGATTAAATATATTTATAATATATATATATATTTGTTGCGTCTAAGTTGTCTGTTGTTATTGTGTATTTGTTTTGTATATTATACTCGTAAGGGCCGGTCGTCACTGACGTGTAAAGGTTGCTCTAGATGTATGTTTTTTTGTTTCGATTATTTTTTAATTATTAAAAGTGCTGAGATTCATCCGAGATCTCATTGATATTAACGCGTGATGAGGCTTTATCATTATATATATTTTTCAGCACAGTCTAGCGGTTAAGTTTTTTGTACAGAGTTTATGTAATGTTAGCTTATTGCTTCGCCGTCGGTTGAAGGAGGGGGCTTATTTCGTTTGAACAGTTCGCGATATGATCAGAATGGTAAAATATCTTTTTATTACATATGTTTTATAAGGAGAGTGAAGGAAATACGACAGGCTGTTAAAGGAAGACGTTTTTTTGGTTGATTTATTTGTATTATTTATTTATTTATTATTATTATTGTAAATATACGACGGTGCTAATCATTGAGGAAATAAATATTGAATACATTTTGTAGTACATTCTGTTTCGGTATTATAATTTTTATTGTTTATATTTTTTAAGATTTTTTATTATTCTGATCGTTTAATAAAAGTTACCATGTGAAAATATTAATGTTCGGTTTTGCACAAAATACGTTTCGATAACTAAATGTTTTAAGCATTCATTTAGTTTTTAAGTTATTTTATTTGATCTGATATTTATTTATAAGAATCAGTTGCTATTTTTATTTTGCGCTTTTGTACATTATAAATTAATCCTATGTATAGAAAAAATGTTATAATGGTATTTTAATATGGACAATAAACAGTATTTATACGTCTATACAAGGTAGTTTTGATGTCCTGTTTTGGAGATATATTTATCTGTTAATGTTTAATTATTATAATTATTTTTTTTCGTCTGTATTTGTAACGGTATTAATTTAAACGAGAGTTGTTTTTAACTTGTAAGTATATCGGATATTGTGACTTCACTGTAACTTCTTTAAATAAAGTTTCAACGATCAGTTTACATTCAAAACTAAGCAATAAATAAATATACGGATTAAATATTGTTGTTTTATTTACCGACATGTGTACAGAGCTTTATATAGACTTTATACTCTCATATATGTATCCACGGCTTTATACTAAGTATACATGTAATACTAGGAGTCGCTTGCATCAGCGTTTACATACCATATTTGAATATCCTGACCTTATTCAAGACTAGAAAACGATCCAACCTGCTCTTAAGACACGCCCCGTTCATACTGTGATACAGATAAAACAAATATTGCTAATTAATGTAAATTATACATAGTTAGTTTTATTTGAAAATATTTTGATGGTGGTATTACCGTGGCAGAAATTCTATTGAACATTTTGATTTTCATTAACAAGTACGAATTTAATGCTCCGCAACAAGTATAAAATCATTTAAAAGTGATTTTCCTTAGCATGATAAATTTTTCTTCTAGTCCATAAAAATATATATTATACATAAAATACATTTACCCCACTCTAAACGTTCCCTTACTTTCACCACTCGTATCCCACCTATAATTTCCTGTAAGGTACAATCTCTAAAGCTTATATGTTATTATTTTTATATAAGCCATTATTATGTGTAATTAGATGTAGGTAAAGCAATTCAAATGAAGGAAATTTAAATCTAATACTTTTGAAATAAAAATCATGATCTTAAATGAAATATTTCGATTTCAATCTGCATATCTATTAAAGTTTTACATGTACATACCTAATTTACAGAATAATGCCAATGCTGAACGCAACAAATTTTCAGTCAGTTGAAGAGAGTTATTGGCATCATCATATTGACCTTACCATTGTGATGAGTCCGTCTCGTTTACTTATCCTCCACGGCCGGGTGTAAGACGACATGCGATAGACAGAGCAGATTTTATCTAAGCTACATTCTTTACCTACCGGTAATGGCTTATTTGGCAGTTTTATATAGAGTAAGTAGTAAAAGTCAATAATGTAAACGAAAATAATATGTAACTACTGCAGATTTTTCCTTAAAACTAAGTAGCTATGTCTACAACATAACTATAAAAAACGTATTTATCTTATTAATATACTAGCTTTTGCCGCGACTACGTCCGCGTGGAATAGTGACTTCCAGCAGATTTTTGGTTCTTCCCACATAGTTCCCGTTCTTGCGGAGTTTTCGGAATGGTCGAGTTCCCATAGAATTTTCAGGATAAAACCTATGTTATTTTAATTCACAATGAAGTACTCTTAACCAACAACATATTTATTTGTTTATTTGAATAAAGATTAATATTATTGTATCAACATACAACTTTAACAAATTATTTCGACCAAATTAGGTACCATAAAAACGGTTTTTGTGAGTTAATCTTAAAAGATAGGCATATACTGTCGCGGACTGTTTTTTAGATCATTAAAAGAGCTATTATTCTGTAATACATATTTTTTGTGAATCTTGAACCGTTTTCACGGCGCACGCAACGGAAGGCTTCAAAGATGAAATAATTTCTCCCGTTTTTTTACACATTTATCACTATATCTTTGCTCCTATTGATCGTAGCGTGATGTTATATAGCCCACAGCCTTCCTCGATAACTGGACTATCCAACACAAAAAGAATTATTCAACTCGAACCAGTAGTTTCGGAGATTAGCGCTTTCAAACAAACAAACAAACAAACAAACAAACAAACTCTTCAGCTTTATAATATTAGTATAGATTAACAACCCATGTTTAATTATTTGATATAATTAAAGGTATTACAGATGGATGTAACATGTAACAGGTGGGAGTAATAAGCAAAACATACAAAACATTTTTTATGACAGTTATAAATCAGTGAAAACGGTCACGAAACAAATAAAAGTGCGTTAAAGTATAAACATGTGACTTTCTCTAATAACTTCACATCGCGTGCTGCAGGATACCTGCGATACATAATTAAACTTGTTAATATATATCATACAAACACACTCATACATCATTCCTCCAGATTGATTGCAGATACATTGCAGTTTATTTTTTTCCTTGAGTGTTAGAAAGGAATTAATGCCCAATGTTACGAAATTATATAGGCATGCCTTTACTGTTTCTTATTTAACTCTATAAGAATTTTTTTTGAACCCGTACGAATCTTATTCGTTTCTAAAACTCATTACCGCTCAAATAAATTATTTAAAGAAAACAAACAAAGAAATTCTTTTTGTTTTCATGTTGTTCTCATAAGTCCATACTATAACTTTTTTCAAATGAATACTTTATAAAAGATATCACTTTAAGAAAATTGATTGATATCATATTAGTCTACTGGTAGATTAAGTTGTATAAAAACGTAACGAAAAATGTATTGTATATAAATATAAAAATATGTATAAACACTTAAAACACATGACCTTCAGTATGTATCTCTATTTGATATACCTGTTATAATCATACATAGAAATTATGGAAATAATCCTTTAAAAGAAAATCTTTTCAAACATTTAAATAACGACGATTAAATATGTAGGGCGTACTCGTAATGTATGATTTATATTTAATGATTTTTAATACTCGGAGTGTGTCATGAACAGGATTCTTTCTGAGTCAGGGCTGAAGTTTATCATTTGCCATAATAATTAAAAATAAACTTTAGTTATTTTTTTATTAGTTACTTTATAA